AAAAACAGGAAATTTTTGTAATTTGTTCGCACCCTTTCAATAATGTCGAGGGTGTTGGGAACTGGGGGCAATTGCCGTTAACTAGGTTCTGACTCCACTGCTGATGAACTAATCTAAGTTTATAAATTTGAATAAACGCAAGGATTTACAAATTTTCTCATCCAAATCAACCACCATCAAAATGAGTTAAAATTTCAGAAATGGAACAGGACTATAAGGGCAATTATCTTCATTTATTCAAACATGCTTATTTCATTTGAAAATTGGTAACTATTTGTCAAAAATGTGCACACCCAGCAAATACTGCTGCCGGTGTTATTGGGAACTACTAAATTCATTGTATTCTTCTTTCATCTAAAACTGTAGAACTTTTTCATGAACCATACACATTTGAGCAAATAATTTAGTTTTTGTAACTTTGGCATTATTGAGCATAACTGAATCTTGACTTCTTTGTTAGTTAGCTGATAAACAAGGCTCAAATTTTCCTCTCCTCTCACCTTCATCATTCATTCCTAAGAGGTCATCAAATTTCAAAGAATAGCAGATGACTGAGGAAGGCCAGTTTCATCTACTCAAACATTCTTCTTTCATTTAAAATTGATAAATTATTTTTAATTGTGCACACCCAGAAATTTCAAGTCAACTCTCTCTCTCTCTCTCTCTCTCTCTCTATGTATATATTTTTTATAAATATATACATACAGTATATGTAAGCTGTATATATATACAGTATATATATATATACATATATATATATATATATATATATATACAGTATATATATATATATTTGCAAACATTTTTATCTGAATAAAAAATGTCATGAACTCACAATAGTCATTCCAGTACTACCATTTTTGTATAGGTTCTTTATTTACAATGAAATTCTTTGTTTAGGAAATGTTTTCTGGCCCCCTCAACTTTGTTGCCTACGTGCATTGTAGCTTGTGGATTATTGTCAATGGGGAATTTTGGGTAAGTAAGTATCACCCCATTTTTGATGATAATCAGTGGATATACATTTGTTAACATTGGATTCATAAATCTGCTCAGCTCTAATCGTCATCCATTACTATTCACCAAATAAAAATAAATGCGCAAGACTGATGAAAAAGGACATGTCAGATATTTAAAATAAAACTGATCAGAAATGCACATTCACAATAATACAGTAATCCGAATAAATAAAACTAAATGGATGCAAGTTTTTTTATTTAAAAAAATCCTCAAGTGGGAAAATTCGATGCAAGCAAAATATGCAATCCAAAAAAATGTTCTCATTAATTTTTGCAACTCACCACCGGCATGATGAGAAACTGGGACAAGAACCCGACCGCCGGTCCCACGGGTTTCTTCAGAACTCCCAGGATCACATCAATTTCCAATTGGCAACCCATGAGCACATTGTTGATCATCACCAGCACCGACATGGTGAACACAAACACCTTGTCCACCAACACCATGTCGTCATTTCGATGCACCGCAATCGGATACTTATGGCGAGCTTATTTTCGCAGCTCATTATTTTCTCGTCAAATCGTCTTCGGTTAATCACATATGCACTAAAATATTCATCATTGTCTTCGACGACAAAAAACCCTTTTCAATCAGGATGAAAATCAGCGAATTAGGCTTAGGAAACCTGAGCAGCAGTTTAAGAAGAATGTTGAGCTAATTTATGCTGAAGCACATATTTTTCTTGTCCATCACTCCGCCTTAGCAATACTGTAAATGTAAAGTTGCAAGGAATTGTTTCGCTTTTTTTGGGCACAAAAATATTTTTCATAATTTCACTCTAAATAAAAATCAAAAGCCTGCACATTATTTGCTCTGCCAATTTTTTTTTTATTATCCTCTGTGCTCAGTATTTCAATGCATGTACTGCTGGTTCTTAGCTTTTTGTGCTCTTTTTCATGCCAAAAGACAGATTCTGTTTAGTTTTATTCTGAACAGTTACTTTCTGTGTATTTAAGTTGAGAGCCATTTTTAAGCCAAATTTTGGGTGGCTTTTTCCAAATTTTAAAAGAACAGAAAAACCAGTAAAGTATGTTCCACTGAAGACTATGGGGAAATGTAATCAAACATGCCTCACAAAGGGGAAGAACTGATTATTCCTGCATCTGGATCAGGGCTCCACTGTTTTACTGTACAGTACAGTGGCCCTCCGCCTAACAGACCTCCCGTGTAAGGGATTTTTGACAAACAGACCAGCTCTGCAAGCAGTTTTTTAAGACACATTGTCAAATTTTATTTAATTTTTGGAAACCGGACAACAGTTTGCTTCAGTTTTGAAAATTTGGCAAACAGTTCGCTATAGGAATAATGAACATTGAATCATTCAATTTTTTTTATTAAAAAAATGTCATGGGAGGAACAAACAAATTTGGAATGCAGCTAGTACTTTTGAAATTTAAAAACTGAAGTGAACAATGATTGCAAATTTAGAACTGAAGCACATTTATCCAGGCATAAAAATCATAGCAATTGGTGGGAATCAGGGATGAACCGCGTGCAATAGGGAGAAAACTCCAGCAACAAAACATGGACAGCATCTAACACTGCTTACAGTCCTTAGCTTAGAGTACTTAGACTATTGTCTGGTTATCCTGCCTTATTCATAGTTCAGCCCCTAAAGCAGGAAATGGAAATGAAATTAACAGAAGCACCCTAAAAACTCATGGTAATAAGAAACACATCACAAGAAGAAACTAGGCTTTTTGGATTATTTTTCAAAAGAGAAAATAAAGATTAATTGGAAATTAAAAATTGCTTTTGGAAAAATGCAAAATGGACTTTGGTTCTTATTTCTGGCAAACAAAATACTCATTGAAAATTGAAAAAAATGTATGAAATATTGTTCTGAAAACAATAAACAGTTTTCACTTTTTGTCTTGCAGTAAATGTAAAAATTCTTTTTAAACATTTGAAAAAATCCCAGCACCTGAAAATAGAATGGGCTAAATGATATTTCTTTTTTCAAATTGGAACATAGTCTAGAAATACCCAAAGTCAATCAAAAATGGGACAACCTTTGTATGTATGCTGAGTAAAACGTTTCCCCTTTTTGAAAAAGTATTCCATCATGCTCAGATACTGTAATTAAGTGTTCGAATATACAGATGAGACACAAAGCATATAACTTACCCATAGCAGCAATAGTTGATATTGTCGTCATTGTCACTGATAAATTGATGTCACCATCAAACAACAGCGTCCAGAAATTTGAATTCGCTCCTCCAGGAGAACAGCCCAGGGTGAACAATCCTAAACGAGTCAGGCCATCTGGCAACATCAGCAATGCAGCAACAAATGACAGCTTTTCAGAAAGAAGAAAAAAAAACATTGAAATGAATGTATAATGACAATTGCCCATGCTTGGTTTTAGCTTGCCAACGAATTAATTTGGTACAGGAATGAATTGTGGCTAAATTTGATGACCATCAGCGGGGTTGGAAAATTTTATAATATTTTTTCATCATTATTCCTAGCAAAATGTTCGCCAAATTTTCAAAAAAGAAGCATACAGAACTGAGAAAAAGCAATATATCATGCACCATGAACAAAAAAAAATGACCATTTTCTTCTTAATGCTTCTTTTACAAATATGGGCAATTTTTAAAATTTTTTCGCACCCTTTCAATAATGTCGAGGGTGTTGGGAACTAATCGGGGTAAATTGCCATTAACTAGGTTCTGACTCCACTGCTGATGAAATAATCTAAGGCTATAAATTTGAATAAACGCAGGGATTTACGAATTTTCTCATCCAAATCAACCACCATCAAAATGAGTTAAAATTTCAGAAATGGAACAGGACTATAAGGGCAATTATCTTCATTTATTCAAACATGCTTATTTCATTTGAAAATTGGTAACTATTTGTCAAAAAAATGTGCACACCCAGCAAATACTGCTGCCGGTGTTATTGGGAACTACTAAATTCATTGTATTCTTCTTTTATCTAAAACTGTTGAACTTTTTCATGAACCATACACATTTGAGCAAATAATTTAGTTTTTGTAACTTTGGCATTATTGAGCATAACTGAATCTTGACTTCTTTGTTAGTCAGCTTATGGCTAATAATTTTGATAAACAAGGCTCAAAATATTCCTCTCTTCTCACCTTCATCATTCATTGCTATAAGAGGTCATCAAATTTCAAAGAATAGAAGAGGACTGAGGAAGGTCAGTTTCATCTACTCAGATATTCTTCTTTCATTAAAAATTGATAAATTCTTTGTAATTGTGCACACACACACATATATATGTATATATATTTACTGTATACAGATCTGCAAAAGTTTTTCTCTGAATCAAAAATTTCATGAACTCCCAGTGGTCATGTACTACCAATTTTGCATAGGTTCTTTTTTTTTACTATGAAATTCTTTGTTTTGGAAATGTTTTCTGGCCCCCTCAACTTTGTTGCCTATACCTGCGTTGTAGCTTGTGGATGATTGTCAATGGGGAATATTGGATAAGTAATTATCACCCCATTTTTGATAATATATAATCAGTGGATATACATTTGTTAACATTGGATTCATAAATCTGCTCAGCTCTAATCATCATCCATTACTATAATGGGTCACCAAATAAAAATAAATGCGCAAGACTGATGAAAAAGGACATGTCAGATATTTAAAATAAAACTGATCAGAAATGCACATTCACAATAATACAGTAATCCGAATAAATACAACTAAATGGATGCAAGTTTTTTTATTTAAAAAAATCCTCAAGTGGGAAAATTCGATGCAAGCAAAATATGCAATCCAAAAAAAATGTTCTCATTAATTTTTGCAACTCACCACCGGCATGATGAGAAACTGGGACAAGAACCCGACCGCCGGTCCCACGGGTTTCTTCAGAACTCCCAGATAGTGTAGTTAAAGGTTAACCGTTGGGTACTCGTGTAACAACTAGTAGTGGTCGTGGCTGTACCACTTGTGTTTGTGGAACAGGTGGTTGTGGTACAGCAGTAAAGCTACGTGGCGTTAGCCTATGAGGTAGAAATAGTCTTCATCTCGTGTCGCGTTCCATCCACTGATGAGTCGAATATCCGCGAAACCCACAAAGTCGCTTTTCAACGTGACGGTGAAATTGAAGTTGGTGGAATTTCCGATGAAATCAACCTGGGTTCGCAACACGGAAGCGACCCAGTAATTATCGATGCTGGTTTTCACGAGAGGATGAATTTCGTCGTCTGAAGATGCGCTTTTGTTGAATGATAATGGGCAAGGTTGAGTTTGGTTGTTTGCGGATCCGATCAAGAAGGATATGTTTCTTTCAGTATCCACTCTCGTCAATCCAAAGTCGTCGAATTGACTTGGATATGCTTGAATCACGACGTAATTCCTGCCATCGTCTTCACTGCAATTTTTTGCGTTGATAACAATGGCGAATCCGAGCAGGATGAGCAGCTTCAGAACATACCGCTCGAATAAAAGCGTCGAGTAATAAAAGAGCAGTTTAGCAGAAGCCAATTAGTGTATACGTGATTTTATAAGTAGTAACAGAAGCTGCTGTTTTTTGGGAAAAGTTAGTCCTACTTTTAGTCTGAATTAGGCTTAGGAAACCTGAGCAGTTTAAGAAGAATAATGTTGAGCTAATTTATGCTGAAGCACATATTTTTCTTGTCCATCACTCCTGGTTAGCAATAAATGTAAAGTTGCAATAAATTGTTTCACTTATTTTGGGCGCAAAAACATTTTTTCATAATTTCACTCTAAATAAAAATCAAAAGCCTGCACATTATTTGCTCTACCAATTTTTGTTTTTATTATCCTCTGTGCTCAGTATTTCAATGCATGTAGTGCTGGTTCTTTTGTGCTCTTTTTCACGCCAAAAAACAGATTCTGTTTAGTTTTATTCTGAACAGTTTCTTTCTGTGTATTTAAGTTGAGAGCCTTTTTTAAGCCAAATTTTGGGTGGCTTTTTCCAAATTTTAAAAGGACAGAAAAACCAGTAAAGTATGTTCCACTGAAGACTATGGGGAAATGTGAACAAACATGCCTCACAAAGGGGAAGAACTGATTATTCCTGCATCTGGATCAGGGCTCCACTGTTTTACAGTACAGTACAGTGGCCCCCTGCCTAACAGACCTCCCATGTAAGGGATTTTTGCCAAACAGACCAGCTCTGCAAGCAGTATTTGTGTAAAGGACTTTTTGTCTAACAGACTTGTCCCTTGCATGAATCAAGTCCGTTAGACGGGGGTTGACTGTACTTCACTTTGAAGAAAAAAATCCAGCAGAAGGGAAAAACTGGCAGTGCTGCTGAATACATCCTAAATTTATCACTGAAGTACCATGTGAACCTTTTTCAATAAACTGGGGCAAATAAAGGGGTTACTCATAAAAGTCAGCATTTAAAAAGTGCATTAAAATGCATTTAAAAAGCAAAAATGATTTTGGTGGCTGAAAACTATAAGATGTGCATCTACGCAGAATGGAATTTTCTCCAAAAATGTGTGCTAAAAATACTAAGCTGTCTGTCTTACCTGCAGGCATGTGGTACTTGAGTAATTTTAGTAAACCCCACTTTTTGATAGAATGTATAATTCACAGTTTTAAATTGTATAAGAGACAAAAGAAACCACATACTGTAGTAGGTTGCTAATTGTGTCACATAACTTCAAATCACAATCACAAGCATTGAAATTTTGATTGACAAAAAATTTTGAGTCATTGCAATACAGATTGCAATTGGGCATTAATTTTTAAGGCTTGTGAATCACTGTAAAAGTCAAAGTATGGAAATTGTGAAAATAGTTGTGATTACCATAGTGATTGCAACTATTGGGCAATAATATGAATAAATCAATTTCAATAGTGATTGGAGAATCAACACATTGTAGCCTTGCCATTGCAGTTTTATTTAGGAAATATTTTCTTGGCACACAGCAATTTCGACTGGGTAAATTAAATTTTGATTGCCATTAAAAACCCACACACTATCCTCGCCACCCACAACACTGTCACTCACGATCGTCAGTCAGAACACACATAAAACTCCATGATGACACTTGGGATATATGCCATGCAAAGCACTCGAATCATTTGCAAGCCATCCATACCCCATCCGTGTCTTTCACAAGAATGCGAGCCCGCGTGAATAGGATGGCTGGGAAAACAAGTTTAAGGACACAGTCACAGAGATGACGTGGTATGAAGAGAACCATTCTCACGCACGCAGAACCACCTTCATCCTGGTGACATGATCCACATCACAGGGCTTCCGTCTATTGATGCTAGTGAGGCGAAGCGAACCCAGACACCCTGAGAGGAAACAAGCACCCAGTGGATGGAAGACTGCCCAAGGGGACGCATAAATCAACTTGTGAGTATATACAGAGGGACCTTTTCGTGAGAATAGTCCAAGTCAGAGAGGGATCCACACAAATTTACAAGGGAGAACATTGGCATACTTGGATAAAACATGTACTTTTTAGGGTAAAATGTCAGGAAAAAAAAAACAGGGAGGTACAACTGATTTCCCCCTCCCCCCCCCCCAGAAAGATAGTTTTAAGTGACTCACATTAATCCCTGAAGATTGAAAAAAAAATCCTGAAAATTCTGGTACATATATCACTTGTTGATTTCTCAGAATCTAAAGGTGAAACCTAGTTTGAGCACCTCAAGTGTGTCATTATTTACTCATCTATGCAAATGTCAGTTTTATTTTTAATTTTTATTGTCCATTAATTATAATGGTAAAATTTTCCAGAGAAAAAGTCGTAATCTTTGACACTTCTTCCTCAAACTTGAAGCACTTTTTCCCTGAAATTGCTCAATTACCAAAATGAGGGGATGCTGATCTTTAAAACCTGAGTAAATTTTTGTATAGATTATCAGTAAAAAGCATTATAGGAATGTTGACAATGCAGGCCATCCTTCAAACAGCTTCCCAAGATTTTGTATACATATAATACAGTAAGACCCTGAGATGCGGACATAATTGGTGCATCAAGAGTGTCCCTAAGTCAAAATGTCCCCAAGTTGAGTCTCATTTTCCCTTAGACTTACATTATAAAATTTTTAATTGGTGTTTCATGTACAAAATGCTCGCCCTAATTCCATGAAAATAAAAATTGTCTCCCAATTTAAACGGATTCAATCAATGTATTTGAACACAATATGAACATTTGGGGAATTAAATACTGATACCTCATCTGTACAGTACAAATAGAAGTGTTGGCATTTTCTGTAAAAATAAAATTCAAGTGAAAAAAGAGAGAAGAAAGTCTCTCTAAGCTGGAGGTAATTATTTTAAATTAGCTAAATTTATTTTAAATTTATTTGCAATTTTATTGCAAAATGTCCCTATGTCAAATCAATGTCCTCTTGTTGGGACTTTTTTGTGATTTTTTCATGTTAAAATAAGTGTCCCTAGGTCGAATTGTCCGCAGGTTGAGGCGTTTGCATGTGGGGGTCTCACTGTATTTGTCTATTATCGGTACAGGTGTAACCATGCAATTCAACCCTAATCCATTGCCAAACTGGTTAAATTGCAAAACCCTATACGTGAGATTAAAACATATCAGTATAAAAATACTAAAAGTTGCCAATGCTGGTTGAATTGCAGGGCAACGGTCAAATTGCCAGTCAACCTCTCTGCAAGTTTGACTCAAATTGCAGGATGGTCCAATTGTGAGGTACCACCTGTGCTTCTATTGTATATTAAATTCTGGGGTGACAGCAGTTTCTTAAGGAAGTACCAGCAGTTATTCAAGTAGAATGTGCAACTCTTTTGATGAAAAAAATTGAGTCAAAAAGTGGGGCATGTTGTGGTAGTATGGTACAGAAGTATAAACTGTGAGGGGGGGGGGGCATAATGTTAGTGGTCAACTCAGTGCACATTGTCTGTGAGTCACTTGATGCTAAAAACAATCAAGATTACATTAATTTTACAATTGGAAACCAGTTCAGCAATATTCCTTCTACTGAGTAGCAAATACTTTTACAACAATAACTCTTTCAGAAGGGAGATTCAAGTGGAATTATGTCAAAAGATGGGGGACAGAGCTTCATATGAAAGACAAAAGCTGACATTAAATGCTACATTATTATTTTATTCACAGGAAGTAAAAGAAAAAGGATACAATTGAAAACTTTTTGGAGTCCATCATTTGTAAAAAAAATATGATTTTCAGCCAACAAAAGCTGCATGAGGTGTGTGTGCCTTTGATGAGAATATGTTTTGCGCTAATTTTTGCACCCAAAAATTTGGGTGCTTGTCTGTGTACACTTGCACAGTATAATTGAACAGCTTGAGTAACTCACAGCATTTGAGTAAATAATTAGACAAAATCTCTTTTTAATGAATATCTGTGTAACAGATCATTGCCAACAACAAAGTAATGTTTCAGCCATAGGTCCCTGATGTCCTCAAGTTCCAATTGTGAATGAGGTACAGCACTTCATTTATAAATTTTTTTTATCACATCTTACCAGTTTACTTGATGGTCGCAAAGTATTCCTTGTATATAAAGAGATTTTCTTGCCTATTGCTGTACCGAAAATGCTGGTCCACAGACTATTGAATATTCTGAGGTAAATGAGGGATGACAGAAAGAGAAAGATCACTGCTGGAACTGCTGCTGATGAAACACTTTAACACGCATTCTCTGGTTTCCGCGAATTATTTCGCATAAACTCAATAAGCCAGCATAAATCAAAGGCGAAACAAACTGATGCAGCAGAAACAAGTTTCGAAGATGATCCCATCACCATTTTTCTACCAACTAATTTTACAACATAGGCGTTGTCAACGAAAGCACAGCCCAGAAAATTCTCCGAATAACACTGCGGAAGAACACAAGGCCACATCGAAACGCATGATCACCATATAATGTGAAGTTCATGGGTTTCCTTCCTGTGTTTCTACTCCCTGGCGTCCCTTTAGCCCACTTGAAATGGAAGTGCGTTGACCCCTTTAAATATGAGGAATCCGGTCGGTGTCTTCACTGTCTTGTTATGAGTTTGTGGATGCCATTGACATCAAGGCATGGCCCCAGGCCCTGGGGAGCTGGACTCTGGTTATAATCTTCCAATTTCTGCCTTGACCAGTTTGTCCTTCAGATACAGTATAATCCATTACAATCGAATCTTGTTGTAAAAAATTTTCATTATAAAATGTTTTTCTATAGTGGTCCCAGCAGTTTCTCATAGGCATAATGTTGAAAAAAGCTCATTACACTGAACTAATTTTTGGTTGGAATCTCATTATGATGAATTTTTGTCCAACATTCAGTGTAAAGAAAATAGGGGCTGTTTGATATGTATGAAAAAAAATGTCAAGCCCCTGGGAGATTGTTGTAATGCAATTTTTCTGTACCACTGGGAATTTAACCCTAAGCAGCAGAGCTGGGATTTATTTCCAAAATTTTAAGCCACACGGCAGACAAAAAATGAAAAAAGTCAGGGATGGTCAGGAGAGACGAAGTCCCATTTTTTTGGCAGAAAAATGTTCCTAAACCTTGGCTGCTGAGTGTCATTACGATATTTCAACATTCCTTTCATATGATTAGCATTGGTGTATTTCAGACACAATGGGTGACATTCCCCAGATTTTCCAGACTTTGGCTACTCAGCAAAATCCTTGTTTTGGTGATCTTTGGTCAAACAACTCAAACCAAAATGCATTAAGCATGCAAACATTTCCCAGCACCACTGCAGGATGGAATTTAACCCACTGCCATCCAAGGGTTAACCCTCACAATCCATGTTTTTATGAATGAATGAACAGAAAACTTTATTTGCCGCTTTCCAGCATTCACAAGGCACAACCAGGACTCCCACATCCAAACCCCCTCCCCACCCAACCCAACTCCCCCAAAGACATTCAATCACTTCAAAGCATGAAACAAAGCACAAACCAGTGACAAAAACAAAAGAGAACACACTCCACAAAATAAAACTGGNAAACCAGACAGTGTATCGAGGACACGCAATGTCATCGTCTGCTTCGGGGCAGCGAGTTGCTATGCGGGAATTGCAACAGCAGAGAGCAGTATTATAAACATGGCGTAGGACACTGTAACTATTTCTTTCGGTGACAAGTACAAGGTCTTCAGCCTGTTTCTGTATGAGTTTTAGTTCAATGAAAAATTTAGAGAGAATCTTTGATGAGAAATCATATAAGGCCAAAAAGTTATCTTGATCCTTTAAGATTTCCAAAAGTGTCTCTTCATGTTTTTATTTGTTAGGGATGGGGAGTTAATTGAAAAAAAAACCAATTTCAGCAGCATCCCAGACTGTTTGTGGTGTTTGATTCAACAATCTTATCCTCTTGTCCTTCTTATTGAGACACTTGAGACTAACAACAAGCCTCACATCATTCACACATGAGATTTGCATAAGTTTGCTGGATTTGGATGATGGCAGCATTCATCACCTGCCTCCTGGGTAAAGACATTATCTGCCAGCTGTTTGCTAAAGAATCACAACCAAAATTGAAGGACTTGACAAATTTTATTCACAAACTGGTGTGTATCAGAGAAAATATGGCCAGTGTCATGAAAACAAACAGCCACCCGAGGGTGATTAAAAATCCTCTGTAGACTTCCTTATCCAGAATTCCCTTCCCAGTCATGATTGCTGCTCTGGAAGCTTCCACAATTCCAGTAGGAGGGATAGAATAACTGATATACCTCAGCCAATCTGGCCTGAATGACAGGGGCCAAAAAACACCTGCAAAATTCATGCATAAATAAATTATTTCATGAAGCAACGTATTTTGGGACATTAAGAGATATATATATGCACATAACCCAGCACTTTCTTGGCATTGTCATTTACCAATTCTTGGTGCGTATCAAATCAAATTTTAAACCCCTGTCAAAAACAACTTTTATGTGATCCAGTATTTTTCAGTGAACATCACTGATATTCTTGTGAACTGAGCATGAATTTTCCAAAATTTTTCGATTATATTGCTTCATAACAATTATTTCATGGATCAATTGAACTTTCACAGTTTTGGTGAAAAATATAAAGTAGCATATTTCTGAAAAAGTACAGCGCTTTCTCTTTGTTTTTATTGTGTATTCTTTAATTACATGAGTCTACTGGACCATTTTCAGAAAAACTGACTCCAAGATTTCAATTAAATTGAAAAATAGCATAAACTATAGCTGTACACATATTCTGAAATATTTTGGATGTAATTTTTAGGCACTATTAGTAGAATATATTGTAATAAGGAATAACGAATAAAATGCAGAGAATTATTGCGTCTATAGGATGCTGTCAGAGTTTTATTTATAAGAACCTGAAATATTTATTTTAATTTCCAATAATAAATGCATATCCTCGGAGATTTATCCTTCCAAATCTCTGGAAAATTTGTAATTGTTTCCTTGTAAGGCATCAAAATTTCTTAAAATTTGCAAAATCAATTTTACCTTGAATTATTCCGGGCTCAAGAAACAGCCATGCTTGACGAAATGGCCGTTTCTTGAACCCACCTTGTTCAAGCTCATAAATACTGTAATTTTGATTCAAAAAAATTATACACAATCGACCAATCAATATTTTAAAAATCATCAGACTAAACGAAGATTGATTGACCCGTACCTGCTATCAGAATCATCGGGAAGAATGACCCGACGAGAAAAATCAACGCAGTTTGTTCACTCTTCGTGTACGACGAGACCAGCAATCCTGTGAATTTTAAAATTTTGAATTATTTTGGGAAAATCGACCAAAAACGAGCACATACTGTAATTCAAAGCATGTTTCAATATCTTTCTTTTGACACGCGTCGAACCCACTTATTTTTTTGCTGCTTCCTAATTTCAAAATTAGATAAATCTATATACAATACAAGTACTGTATTAATTTTACTATAAAAAAGAATAAGTCAGGCATCAGAAAAATCACCCAATAGGACATGTGAATTTTTTCACAATTCATTACTTACACTTAAGGAATTAAAATTTTAAAAATACCTGTAGTGAAAAAATAATAAGCTGCATTCAAATGAGATCCAATTCACAGAAAATTACCTTTGAACAATTTTCATGAGACTAATAGGCTTTATTCAGAGTATAAACATGCTCGTTTTCAGATAAAGTAAAATCTCATTACAACGAAGCAGTGGGGACCTAGGATAAAATTCTTTTGCATCATTCAAATTCTTTCAAAGGGATTTTTAAAACGTTTTATGCCATTAAAAATAGACAGGGACGTGTGAAGAATTAATTCGTTGTCAGCAACAATTCGTTATAACGAGTTTCGCGGTAAATGTATTCTCGATTCTACCGTAGTTTCGGTGGTAAATATTTGAAAGGTCAAGTGCCAGCTTTCAACTCCATTATTGTTGATCATTTCATCAAATACAGTAGTATATAATGACCCGAAATGGAGGAGAAAATCGTTTCATGAATCCATGCCAATATTTTTCTTTTTCATTTTAGTATTTATATTGCGATTGAAAAACGAAAAACTTCTGCAATTAAATGATGGTGAGATGAAATAAGTGAGTTAACAAAAAATGTTTCTTAATCTCTTATGAAATAAGCCCGAGATGATAAATTCAAAACATATATTACAACAGAAACTTTTCTAGGTTTCTCTCATTTTTGATATCATTTTTTTTCCTACCCGAAGAAAAATAAACCCATAGATTTTCAAGAAGAAAAAAAAATTCACCTAATCCCATGCCACAAATGCCTCCAGTCATGACGCACAAAAATCCGTAAAAGACTGCATTGAAAGAGTGATGAAAAGGGATGAGGAAAACTCCGTAGGCCACGATGAAGCTGAGAAGGATTTGCAAAATATTCACCAGGAACATGGTGAATAGCAAAGCCAGCAGGATTTCTGCTTCTTTCACACCTATATATATAGAAATCAAATTTCACGCATTTCAATTCCTTTTTGGTCTTCACAAACGCATCAAATATTACCGTAAACGATTGTTCTGCCGATGATTCCTGCGGTTCTGTCGGAGATCAGGGATAAGCTCGTCAATCCCTCAGCCAGAAAGAACATCGTCCTGAAAAGAAAAGAAGAAAATCTATTGAAATTTCAATGAATGGTGAAATTTCAATTAATTTCACTCACGAGGATGTGAAACCAGGAACCAAAAAGGAACGCATGTCCAAGTTTGTCGATCCGTAAAACACTTTTTCAATCTATATTTGAAAAGCACAAACTGTCATCGGTCATCTTTTTTTTTTCTTGTGAAATCACTCAAAATTCGGGATTAAATTTCGGGATTGAATTTATAATCATCTGGACATTCTTCATGATTCGAACGCGTTTAATTATTGTTTATAGTACATTTAACTACTATAGCGAGATTTGGAAGCCTTTTTAGTTACCAGCAAACCATTAAATAAAATGAAAATTAGGGAATCTAATTCCATATGCAATTTTTTGAATGCTGTAAACGAAACTTTTTTTGTTGTTGCAATTTCAAAGCAGGTAATCGGCTGAAATTTAATTTTTTCCCTTGACATAAAAATTTAATGTTTTTGAATTTCAAAAATACGATGCTGGATAACTCAACTGGGACTGAAAGTAGAGTCTTGTCTATAATAATAAGTAGTAATCTCAAATAACTCATCATTATTTATTCTCTGTTGACTTCAAAAAATCGAAATAAATATTAAAAACTTTTTCTTTGAGCATTCACTAAAATTTCACACAAATGAGGAAGAAATAACTGAGACTCCCACGTAATTATTAGGAAAAGTATCTATTTTTCATAAATTATCCAAGGTGGTGAAGATATTTACTGACATTTAATCCACCATATACAGTACATGTATTACACTTCCCAATTTTAGCCACTTTAGACAGAAATTATTTGCTATTTGCCTTTACTTTATTAACAAAAGAAGCAAGGTGGAAGTTTTGGATGTTCACAAGAAACGCTTTTTTCTCACACTTTAATTAATGTATCTTTATAGGAAAATGTATGTGAATGAAAAAATACCTACCTTATAATTTAAACAAATGATCAACAATTTTCTCAACTACTTTTCATGAAGAAAGAGTTCAGTTTATTTGAAAATTTCAGCAAATAAAATCTGAAAAAAATTTTTTTAAACTTTATTATTCATTTGCTTTAAGTTGTAAAGAGTAATTTTTAATGTTCCAATACGTTTTGACATAGGTGGAACCTAACAATTTGACCCTAATCCATTGCCAGGCTATAGGGTCAAATTGCAAAGTAGTCAAATTGCAGGACACTTATGTAAAATTGAGAAATATCAGCACAAAAATGCACAAAAGTGGCCAAAGCAGGCCAAGTTCTGGGGCAGAGGTTGAATTGCAAGTCAACGTCCCTGCAAATTTGACTGTCAAATTTCAGGATGGTTGAATTGGAGGAGGTTGAATTGCACGGTACCACCTGTAATAAAGAAATTTTCAACACTCACTTTTACTGGAGAAGTTCTCAACAGTCCTCCCGTGAGTCCACTGTAGCATTCATCAATGGATCTCTCAACAATTGTTGAGCTGAACATGGATCCGATGGGATCTTCAAAGCACAATTTTGCTATTTAAAATTCTTCCAAGGAAGGATTTTGAAGCTCTACTTTTGTTACCCGTGTTGTCAAAATCAATGACGAATGGACGCATGTGATTATAATCCTTGAAATCTTGATGCAGTTTGAATGGAAGAATCACTTTCTGCATATTTCGAAGTGCCAAAACTGCTTTCTCTCCATGTCCAGCTCTGAACTGCAGGACGATTGAAAAAAACAAACTTCAAAAGACTGAATTTCTAGCAGAAATGTATTTGAAATGATGGGAGTACTTTATTATCATGTCAATTATTGTCAATTAATTATTTAGCGAACTCAAAAGAAAAAGCAATAACTCAGATGCACGACTGGCTCAACTCCGTAAAATAAAAAAAAAATTGTACTTGACGAACTGAAAATAAGCGGAACCTTTTCGGATTAAATACAATTTTTTAAACGCAATTCTGTTTTTAATCAAAAATGGAAGGTCACAGTTTAAATAAATTCAAGCTTACAGCGAAATTTGCTAATAGATTATCCTCATCATTTATTTGAGCAAATTTGTCACACGAGTCTTAGGAGTTTAAAATTTCAAGTTGAATACAAGTCTATAAAATATTTAATTTTGAAAAAGACATAATTATTGAACCTTGCACATTTTACTGATAAGAAGTTGGAAAAAGTGCGCGATGATCGAATATTTTGAATCGTGAACTATTTGGAAATTGCAGTATTTTCATGTAAATTCTTCCATAAATATGTGATGAATGTTTTTTACAATTACTGTATATACATACAAGTATGTACCTGAAAATATGACCATTTAATCATTTCAAGAAATGCAATAGTCACCTCCTCGGAAAATGTTTTCACGTGCTCCCGGAATTCTTCGACGGCCGAAGAATTCGACATGAATTTCCGAGAATTCTCGCCAATTTTTGGCAATGATGAAGTTCCAAAGGCATTGTGCTTCACAATTCTGTCATTCGCCTTTTTCTCGGAATCAAAAGATTTCTATAGAGGGGGAGAAAAGGTCATCACATGTAAAAGGTTCTGAAAATCACCGAAGAAAACTGGGATTTCAATATGAACTGAGTCAGATTTTTACATCTTAGTATTTTATTACTTTACATTTTTGTATCGATTTCCTCAAACCAAACTCCATTAATCAGACAATGATGTTTCAAAATTTTTTGCAGCAGTACCAAGTTTGAGCTTTACTTTTTAATCATATTCTACACCGCATATTTTTCAGAAAAAAGAACAGTTTCATGGATCATGTTGCTGTACAAAATGCCAAGTTTCACTCTCAACATTAATATGTCTGGTTTATTTGCATATAGCAATGTGCATCTTGAATTGTATATTCCTGCAATGTCTAGCTTTTGTCAACATTTAATTTATTAATTGAAAAATATATTATTTTCCTTAGAACCTTTATTCAGAATCTGGCTTGTTAAATTTTACAGCATTAGAGAACTTAAACTTGCTCAAAATGAATATCTTCAGGAAAATATGATGGAAAGTTCATCTGACATATGATGAGACTGAAAAGTTATAGATCTATAATACCAGTGTTCCCCAACCTGTGGTCCACAGACTCAAGCTGGTCTTCAAAAGATTTTTGCCAGTCTATGGGAAAGTTTCACCAAAATAAAATTATCAAAAGTAGCAATGAAGTCTGTTATTTTCATCTAACATTTCGAAAAGACAAGGGCATTTTAAATTATCTCACAAAAAAATTGCCTGTTCTCTTATGAAACACTTGGAAATTTTTTCCTGCTGGAATAAATTATCTGAATTTTCATTCTGATGAACCTTTCTTTCAGCCCAATTTCTAATTTTTTCTGACATTCAGCTATATAGCTGCTTCATTGGTGCTCAATTTCATTTTTAGAAAAAAGCAGACACTTTTAAATACCCCCCATAAAGACTTTCATGCAAAACTTTTTTGTGCCTGCAAAAATAATGTTATGTAACTTTGCTGGTCTGCAGACATTTTTTTTGGGAAATTTGCTGGTTAATGGTGCCAAAAAGGTTGGGGACCATTGCCATAGGCTACAGGCATTAATTCATCATTTCACTCAAGAATTTATTACTGCAAGGATTCCATCCGCATTTCCTCAAATGAATACATTTTAACTTGTTGTACGAGGAAGGAACTGAACAATGTACTGTATATAAAAAATGTCTCGATCAACAAATGCAAGATATACACACTATCGTCAGGTAATTGCTGGGGCTGTTCAGACTGTCACAGTCTGAGTGAATGAACATCCAACATGCCCCAGGTTCGTAGAACGGAGTCAATTGACATGGTTTAGGTCGTTCATCAAACATGGCCAATTCTGCATTCATGGTTGGTTTGCCAAGCACTGAGCTGCACAAGACAACTTGCAGAAGGGCAGCAGTCAACTGGAATAGCACGTGCCTGATATGTATCAGAATAAAACAAAGAAAATATCACCATTTATTATTATCACATAATTGCACATAATATGCGTATGGGGAAATCCATCTCAGATTCCAAAAAACAGATCCCAACCTGAACTTTATTTTTCTGGGAAAAAGTGTTTTCATAAGATTGGATTACTCAATTATTTACTTGAGTGCCACATATACACTCAGGTATGCTTCAAACCTTAGATTTCCTGCTATAATTTAAAAAAAAATTTATCCCTGCATGAAGACATGCTCCTTTGTGTTCAGATTCCAAAATTTCTGAATATAAAAAAACTTCTTTGAGTAAAAATCTAGATGAAACTCCACTTCAAAATCAAAGTATTGTTGCATAAAAAGAATGTAGTGTGAGTCAACCCTCTTCTCTTTACAACAACTTTAAAGGGACCAGAAAAAAAGCAATGTAGAGAAAATTTCCCTCCATATGAGAACCACTATATAACCAAAAATAAATTTGTTATACTGTACAGAGAAAATTGATGTCTACAAGATTGTTGAAGAGAGAGAGAGAGAGTCCACCTGTCTCAGTAAAAATGAAACTCTGATATAATTGAAAGTGGTAATGAGAAAGTTTCCAAGTATGTAAGATTTGTCACTTTAAATTTGTATTTAAACAAATGATGCATACCTAATTACCTAAATTTTTGCTTCACTTCATTGGAAAAAGGTGCACATAGTATTAAAATTGATTATCAATTTCAATATACAGTAGTTTGAAATACGCACACAGGAGTTCGAATGAGCACCAAGATATTCTTTTTCACCAGAGTCACAAAGCGACTTGGAGCAAATCCTCTGACCATGGTTCTGGTAGGTCTCCCAAATGTCTGCACTTCTCCTACAATCTGGAAAGCAAATATACCCATGCCTCAATATTAGATAGCTGCACTCATTCATGTAGAATGTGACAATCCAATTAAATATGTGACTGGAAAACTCAAATTTAGTAGTGCAGTTGACCCCCACACAATGGACCTCCTGCACAATGGATTTTTTCACAACAGACTGCCTCTGATGAAGGCAGTTTTCCTTCCTGAACAATGGAATAAATCCGCATAACAGACTTCCATTGGTTTAAAATCAATAATAAAAAGTAAAAATCTCAAGTTTTTGAAAATTGAATTTGCATAACAGACTTTTCACACAACAGACTGTTGCACAAATTAAGCCCATTGTGCTTGACTGTAATTTGAAATTAAATGCACGCTAAGAGTCCTGAGTCAAAATCAAAACTATACACAGTACACACAGGCTTAGTTTCCAGAGTCATGAGCTTGCCCAAAGGAGTGACCTCTGGCTGAGCGTCTTGGCCTGCAGAATCTCGCCCGCTGTTTCGCGCTCCTGCTGATTCCGGGTTTGCACCATCAGCATTGCTCATGGAAGCTTGTTTCTCGCGTTCTTTGATTTCAATGATGTCTCGTTGACTTCTACCTTCTGATTCCAGACACAAATGAAGAAACACTTCTTCAAGTGTAGCACCTCGACCGCTGACAAGCAGCTCTTCCGGGTTCGCTTCCGCCAGGAGTCGCCCCTTTCTCATGAAGCCAATCTGGGCACGATAGCGACATCTCATTGAAACACAGACGATCAACTTGTATAGTATATCACAGATGTCGCGTTAGGAGCAACGTAATTTGTCTGATACGGTACAGTACTGTGCCATGATGGAGCTGATGGAACTCCGCTAATGCAGACAAAATTACTTGAAGTACATTTACAAAATGTATGACATCCCAAGTGGGGAGCTATTCTTTGTGTGACCCCACAAATGGTGCACACTGGGGTCAGAATTGGTGTGCATGGGCTATTCTGGAGTTACAAGCATGCACCTCTGTAATAGACAAAATTTTGCTACCATTCCTGGGCTATATTTGGTGCACAACTGTGACATAACAGGAGTATCACATAAATGCACCAACTGTAACCTTGGTGTAACTTATTTGTTTACAAATGTGACCCTGAGTATAATCCTGGTGTGAACACACAATTGGTGCACATCAGGGATATGCATGTGCAACAAAAGAACTTTGGTACACTTCAGGTGCACAGCAGGGTCACCGTGTAGAATTACAAACATATCCCCAGTGTGCACCAATTTCCCCACTGGGGATGGCATACCCTGTTACAATATATGGTAATATTACAGTACAGTACAGTGGGGTCTTTGCTTACAAATGCCCTGGCTTACAAACTTGTCAGCTGACAAACTTTTGTTTTAGGTCTCAGCTGCTCAAGCTAACAAACCATGGCTTGGCTTACAAACTTTGAGTTCTTCAAATGTTCAGGGGTCTAAAAAAAATTTCTTCAGCAACATCTATGTTCAAACTTATGTACTAATTCATCCAAGAATGTCTCAAAAGTTTAGTGACCAATTCATTATCATCAATTTTTTTATTTATGTTCTATTTGGGTTAAATTCAACATATTTTTAGCATACAAATGTTCCATCTGAAATCCTTGGTCTGTGAATATTGTAACTTTGTGGTGTTGCATTTCAAATGTTGAAGAAACCTCTGGAGTAACTCACTTTAAAATTTCACTTCTACATGGATTGTTTTACTGCAATGAGTTTCTTGCTTATTGTCTCATTGGAAAGATTTAATGGACTTTTGGCCCAAAAATATTTTTAGGATGAATTTTCTTGAATTTCATGGACATTTTCAAACTTCTGGAACCAATTAAAATTATTCCTATACTTTCTTAAGGGAAAATGTTTTTGGCTCACAAACGATTTGGCTAACCAACCTTATTTAGGAACCAATTGAGTTTGTAAGCAAAGACCCCACTTTACAGGGACAATAAAGTAGGGCAAAATGTATTTTCCTCCAAGAATTTTCAAATATTGTGCAGTACTGAAGTAAAATTCTAAAGAAAAACTATTCATTTGATCTTGAAGATTTTAGAAGTGCTGTCTGAAAGCATTTCTCTAGAATTGGCAGCTCTTTAACATTTCTTCATATTGTATTTTCTGCATTTTACAATATGTTGTTATAGCTAATTACAGTATAGAGCTTTTAATACATATATACTGAATGTATATGATATATCTGACATGTATATGTACACATTATGAATGATTTATAACAGTGCGCTGAAGTGCCTGGACCTCTGATTTGAAGGTTTGTTTCTTTTGTTTTGTTTCTCGCTTTTGAATTTGAAATCCAAATTTTTTGCGGTTTCATGTGTGTGTACTTCCAACATACCCAATTCAGGTTCGTAGAGAGGCAATTCAAAATTGGGTGCATAAATCTGAAGGAATATTATTTCAATATTTCACTAATTACCCATTTACAATTTTTTTTGAGTGAGACATGTATACTGTACTTGAATTTCTGAAATGATAATATGTAACATCTGTCAGAGGCTCCAAAGAACCAAGGACAAAAAAATAAAAGTTTCAGGAAATAAAGGAAGGCACAATAGGCCGTTTGCGGCCGAGACTAGGTCTCCTCGAACGGTGTAATTCAGTAACACAAATTGACAACAGTTTTCACTTTCAGGAATCTGGAAGACACACTTTTCAAGAGCACTTTCAGGAACCAATCGCTACGAGAATCTCAAGATGAGTGACGATCTTCGGTGCTTCGGAGTTCCGGGACCAGTACTGGAAAACTGGTTTCCAAGGTCGAGTTGTACTTCTACATGGATTGTTTTACTGCAATGAGTTTCTTGCTTATTGTCTCATTGGAAAGATTTAATGGACTTTTGGCCCAAAAATATTTTTAGGATGAATTTTCTTGAATTTCATGGACATTTTCAAAGTTCTGGAACCAATTAAAATTATTCCTATACTTTCTTAAGGGAAAATGTGTTTGGCTCACAAACTATTTGGCTAACCAACCTTATTTAGGAACCAATTGAGTTTGTAAGCAAAGACCCCACTTTACAGGGACAATAAAGTAGGGCAACATGTATTTTCCTCCAAGAATTTTCAAATATTGTACAGTACTGAAACAAAATTCAGAAGAAAAACTATCCATTTGATCTTGAAGATTTTAGAAGTGCTGTCTGAAAGCATTTCCCTAGAATTGGCAGCTCTTTAACATTTCTTCATATTGTATTCCCTGCATTTTACAATATGTTGTTATAGCTAATTACAGTATAGAGCTTTTAATACATATATACTGAATGTATATGATATATCTGACATATATATGTACACATTATGACTGATTTATAACAGTGCGCTGAAGTGCCTGGACCTCTGATTTGAAGGTTTGTTTCTTTTGTTTTGTTTCTTGCTTTTGAATTTGAAATCCAAATTTTTTGCGGTTTCATGTGTGTGTACTTCCAACATACCCAATTCAGGTTCGTAGAAAAGCAATTCAAAATTGGGTGCATAAATCTGAAGGAATATTATTTCAATATTTCACTGATTACGCATTTACAATTTTTTTTGAGTGAGACATGTATACTGTACTTGAATTTCTGAAATGATAATATGTAACATCCACTGCAAGAGATTAAATGCGCAAATTTAGGCATTTGAAAAAAAATTAACAGTTTTTTGTACATGTTTCTTATAAACCTTTCAGTCGTAATATTCGTTCTGTCTACTGCAATCGTCTGAAAATTTCTCTGGAAATGTGACGTGTAATTTCTTAGATAATCATGGCAGGCATACGAGGAAAATATTTGGAAATGAAAATCACTTGAATCAACTCGTATTCTTTTGAGCCTTCAATGACAATTTCAATGCATGAGCACTGATTGACTCAAAATATTGAAATACTGTATTGAGAGTAAGCCAGGTTCCAAGTACTGTACTGTCATTATTAGTAAATTATTGTGATCAATATTATTGCGAAAAAAAAATGAAAGAAGTATTATACTGTACTTTCTTTTTAAGTGGCCGAAACATACCCTATGCGAATTCCTTGCCTCTTCAATGTAGTGCGTGGTGAAGATTATGGTGTTTCTCCTTTCTTTGCACATTTTCAGCAAATAAGCAGCAATTCTGCAATAAGAGAGAAAGAGATGGGGCAAGGCTTTGAGCTAAATATATACTCGCATGCTGTAGAATCCAACTTGAGTATCAAATTGTGGCAGCCACTATAACAAAGGCCGAATATCAAAAGAGATACAGGTGTGTCCTCCTCAATTCAACCCTATTCCATTGAGGGGAAAGAGTAAAATTTAAACTCAGTTGAATTGTGAGACAATGTCAAATTTGATGTTTTCTACATTGAATTTGACATTTTGAGTCTCTCTGCAGGTCAAATTGTGGGGCAAGAGGTCAAATTTCCAGGTAAAATCCCAACAAATTTGACCATAAAATGTTGGGGTGCCAAATTTTAAGGTACCACCTGTACATCACTAAATATACTGTAGAATTTTTCCCCCAAAGCAGGATTCACTAATGTAAAGGGGGAAAAGATATCAGAGGAATCAAGTTTAATAATATTTTCAACAATATAAGAAGTGGCCTTATCTAAAATTCAAAAAAAAAGAAATCACATACTAGAACAGCTCTTTCAATTCCATTGTTTCAAAATCCATAAATGTCATTTCAAAAAATCATTGGCATTGGACATGTTTGCAATGCTGGAAATACTTATATGGGTTCCCTTCCAACTTTAGCAAGAAGAGTTACCTAACACAGCTGTCTTGAGGAAATGTTCAGCAGTGGAATGCAATAAATAAATATCTGCCAAAAATAAATCTGTACCAACTTGTTCAACATTTTACTTTGTATTAATGGCTTGTACCTCTAATATAGAAGCTGGCCCACAGCATTAAAGACCGCAAAATAGCCTGCTTTTTAAAATAATTGTTTTCCTCCAAATATGCAGTCAACCCCCAATTTAGTGCATCATTTGTCCTGGCAAATGTTGTGGCACTAAGCAAGGGTGACAATAAATCAGGGGCATTGTATGAAGAGAACTTTTCTTTGCAGGCTTCTAACATGGGTATAACAGACTTTATGCAGAATTTTAAAATCATTAAGTCTGTTTTGTGAAAGAGTAAGCCACACAAAATAATTTGAAGCTCAAATGAACTGTTTTTATTGCATAGAACATTATTTTATAGTACAGAATACTGTATTTCATATTTTTAAATACAAGGTCAAGTGAAAGAGTGGAAACTTTACTTACAATTTGTATTAACTTTCCAAAAGAAACATTAATAACCTGATAATAGCACTAAAAATATTCCTCAATTTCTCTGATTTTGACCTGTCTTTCATGAAGGACAACAGAAAATTTTTGTGGCACTAAGTGAGTTGGAACTAAATTGAGGACACAAAAGACCTTAAGAACACAACAGAGGAAGACTTGTTCTTTGGAATGTTCTTTGGCAGATATCTAAATGGAGGGTTGACTGTATATCATGGCATATATACATATATATCTGCTCATTTCCATCTGAAAGAAATGACTGTCACACTTTTTCCTGATGACTGGGTCCAATCCCACTGTTGGCTCATCCAACAAAAGAAGCCTGGGGCGTTGTATCAGTGCAGCTGCTAAACTTGCTCTCCTCTTTTGTCCACCACTGAAAATGGGAAAGGATGCATAGGACGTGTCACTGGCAGCAGTAGTGAGATAATCTTGGAAATCAATTTCAACATATGAGGGAATTATATCAGAAGTCCTGGAAGTTGCCAACAAGTCAGGTTAGCCCATCAAATCCATCAAGATACACGGAATCTTAGAAAAAATCTCCAGGTATAAAACCCATCTTTGTTTTCACTAAGGTTCACAGAAAATTCTTGAAAGTTTAATGGGAAAAAGGATGGAAATGGAAACTTCAAGTAGGAACCCATCATGGATGAAATAGTGGTAAGACATTGGAGTAGAAGATCACTTTGGAATCCTTTTAGTGACAATTATAATAATGCAGATATTAGCCTTTGAAATGTTTCTACAAAATTATTATACTAATGAAGTTTCATTCCTCGTCCTTTTTTCAGGTACTTATTATAAGTTACGAATTTAAGACTTCTATATCAGTTATCGAGTTATGTCACCGGGGACGGATTGTCTGGAGGACGTATTCCCTAAAACCTGATTGTCTGGTCGAGAATGGCAGTTTTTTCTCCCACCCAGCAGACAAAATCTGCTAAACCGACTTCTGTTGGTTTAAAATTAGTGTTGAAAATTGAAAGTTTTACTGTTTTATATAATTGAATTTTTCTAAAGGACTTTTTGTCCAACAGACTTGCACATTGCAAAAGTTAAGTCTGTTAAACAGGGGTTGACTGTAATGCACTAATTATAATTTATTAGGTTCTCTGAAAAATTATATTGGGTAAAAGGTAAAAGGTTCAATTATATACTGAAAATGACTGATTCGCCATCCCCAATATATATACTCTTCTGGCTCAATTTAAAATACTGAAATACTGTATATATGTGTGAAATGTCATGCCTCAGTTTCCCAATTCGTTTGTGGAGAACAGGGACCAAGTCCAGCAGGTGGGTTAAGTGGTAAATCCCCACAAGTTAGAGAAGAAAACAGTAAGGTGAATACGCAGGTTTTATTCACTCTCAGAGTCCCTAACACTTGACCTTTATGTTTCACCAAAGGACTCCGTACTACCGCTGACAACCTGGTCCTTGATGACAATTCTTGCTCTGCAGTGGCTCGCCAAAAAGTGAGATGGATCCACTTTCGCAACGGAGCAATTTGACCAGGCATTTCAGCACAGTTGTTTTGCCTACAGCACTGGGGCCAAGTAGTCCATACCTAATATGAGTGGTCCAATAAGCCATCAATTTATTATATGATTTTTATAAATTTAAGAGCAAATGAAAATTTTAGAATTTACTGTATTTACTTGAGTACCATATATGTACCCTCTTCTAATAAAAATAATGATGGCAACTGGGCATCATGAGCAAGTACAAAATTGTCACAACTTTTAGAAGTTCATGCATGGGTGCATGTGCTGGGAAATTTTAAATTTAAATGATGTTTCCAAATGAAAATAAATGGAAAATTAATTGCATTCAGGTTCAATTCATGTCCTAATTCAAATGCTGGAGTGCTGTATTTTTGAAGCATTGCAATCATTTTTCAGTTATATAAAATAAGGTGCTTATCTTACTGGGCAAGAATATTTTATCCAAATTATATGCTGAAGAATCTGGGTGTGCTTCTTACTTAAAGGCCAGTTTTGGCACATCAGTAAATATTGTACTGATTTATTTAATCTAATGTTGTATTACCTTTTTATGGTACTGTACATTTTTTTCATAGATCAATAGTAAAATGTGGGCTTTCTTCTTATTGTTTGCTGACCCCTGCATTAATAAAGAGATTTATTCAAAATTGAATCTTGAAAAGCGGGGCTGCTGAATAACCACTGAAATTGAGTTCAAGTCCACAGAGATCACCAGAAAAAGGAATTCCTGGTAGAGTGTATGTGTACAATCTTGATATTTATTATCATTCAACTTTTTGATGCTTGTATAACAAAAAGGCATAAAGTCTTACAATACACTGCACTTCATACAGTTATTGTTTTAATGAATCATCAATCACTCAAGTACTGTAAAATGTGTCAATCATGCTGACAATATGCGTAAAAATATACTTGTATTCTTGCAACAGTGGGTGAGGATCTTAGAAAAAATAATAGGTTTCTGATCAGAATGTCAGCTCTTATATATTTCCTGGGAATAACTACTGCTTGTACAAGTATGTCCTGCCTCAATATTTTCAGAAAAAGATAGCAATTTTGATGGCTGCCCATCCTCTTAATATAAGACCGCCAAGAGATTTTCCTAACCTTCATATTGATTTGTCAGAAGGTGCATCAACTGATGATCAAAAGCATTTTGAAACTTGTAAGTCCCAAATTATCTGCTGAGAAGGAGAATTCATACCCATATTACTGTCTAAATATAGAAATGGAATAGTACTGTAATCTACAACAAAATTATCTCTACAACAAATTTTTTTCTGGTCCCCTGAACTTAGTTGTATGCAGATAGAGAAAGTCCACCTGTATCAGAAATCAGGGATCTCAGTTTCCTCCGGATGGGATACTGTAGGACAATTTATATTTTTATATATTTATATTTACTGCAAGTGTATTTTAAATTGGGGTAAAAATGGAACATTGGATTTCACTTACACTGATGGGAAAGAAGGGTTGATAAAATTCAGAATTTTTGTTCATACACTCCACTGAAATGAAATCCTATTTTCAATGGAAACTTTCGACTTTTTCACAGCATTGTATTTTTAAAGCTTACATTTATTTGTTTTTTATTTTAGGAAAATGTGAAATTTAAACTCACACTGTCCCTTCTTCCACATTCATGTCCATTCGGTCCAGGACTAAATTCAAATTACTCCTGAAGCAGAGTCTACCAAAACCGTAAATCTTCACCACATCCCGCATCTTCACAGCAAGAGGATATTTAGAATCGTCAATATACATTGTATGTGCGCTGCTCACTTCTGTTCCACATAAATGAAAGCTAAAAGAATTTCACCGGTTTTAAGCATCCAAACAATTTACTGTTGGTTGCCTTCAAAAGCTTTTTCCAGCATTGAAGGGGCTCTTGAGCAATTCCAAAACCACTTTAATGCCAAAAAAAATAATTTTATTTGATGGCTGTCCTCAGATAGTTCAGAAGATTTTCTTTGGATGCTTGCTGAGCATTATAAAAAAGTAAAAAAAAAACTCTTCCATCCAGTTTTTGCCATTATAAACTCAGTGTTGCATGTGAATACTATGATTTGAATATGGATCCAAGAAACAAATTTCCCAATCTTGTGAGTGTGTGACAAACTTGGCAAGTTATTACAAAAATATAGGTCCCTGAGTGAGACAAGGCAGCCATTTTGGGCTGTTGTTTATATTTTGAAAACAGACAGTATTCATGAAGAAACATTTTCGAATATTCTAAAAATCACGTTCCTATATCAGGACTTTGATGATTCGTACAAAATCTTCACTGGACCATTTTTTTCATTTTATGGGAATTTGCATCCTTTTAATCATAATAGACATTCTAAACAAGGCAATTAACCAGCATGCAGTGTTGCCTTGCCTAACAACCACAATTAGTTCATGCATGGCGGTTTTTAGTTGAAATGGTCATAATTAAGCGCCACAAGCCGCCGTTTTGAAGTCACTCTTTGCCAGGGATGGGGAACTGTAGGAAAGCAAATGAAACATAGAGGGCACCAGGAGTAAAAGATGGCCGCGCGCAAGAAACGATAGTGAGGTACAAGCTGACATCCCTAAAGCTGAATAGCGCCGACCAGAAGAGATCATCACTTGACTTCTGACTCCGAGAACAGTGTTTAATCCGGACTACTTTCATTGTGATTGTGTTGCCGTTGTGTTGATGTTGTCTAAGAAGTTCTGAAAGATGATTAAAATGACTCTGTGAAAGCGTGACGCTGGACAAGGATCATTTCATAAATCCTTACTCTGTCTTCTCAACACAGTAAAGATGTGGGAGCTCCAGGATGTGCTTACTCCGTCTGCAGTTTCTACAGTAATCATGGTGCCTGACACTTTTACACTGCATTTTGTGTGGTTTGGTTGGTGTTGAAAGGTTGTAATTATTGAATTAGTGGTCTTCATTAATTGCCGGTTAAGATTATGGTGTCAACAGAACAATCCTGTGTATTTCTTCAGCTTATTTTGTGATATTGATTCATTTGGGAAATTTATTTTAATGACCCTGTGTAAGGCTTCACGTATAAAGATTTAGACATGGAGCAGGACCTGATCGGAATTTTGGAGAAAACCTTATCTCCTTGGTAAGTGTGCTATCCAATCGTGTAGGTTGATTATCACAGTTCGGAGGTTCGAGGTAGAATGAGGCTTGGCGTGCCCCTCGTCACACAAGATGGCCGGTCGCTGGCGCGCGGGCCGTTGCGCCGGCGTACCCTGATTGGGTACGAGATCTGAACGAAGCTCGATCGAATACGCGTTTGTACAAGTCGCGCGGGACTAATGGCCGCTGGCCGTTACTGTATCAACAGAACAATTCTGTGTATTTCTTCAGCTTATTTTGTGATATTGATTCATTTGGGAAATTTATTTTAATGACCCTGTGTAAGGCTTCACGTATAAAGATTTAGACATGGAGCAGGACCTGATCGGAATTTTGGAGAAAACCTTATCTCCTTGGTAAGTGTGCTATCCAATCGTGTAGGTTGATTATGTGCTTAAGAATTGCTTCTGTTGCTTGCAGATCAGAATGAACTCCAAGCTGCGACAGAATTCCTCGAGCTAGCCGCGAAAGCGGACTTGGTAAAGACTATGATTTTTGGATTAATTTCCAAAAGATGATTCAAGACATTTTCAAATATTTTCAGGTAGCTTTTCTGCAAACCCTTTCCGATATTTTGAAAGCCAGGGTGGCGAATCCAATTGTTCACGTAGCAGCGGTCTTCAGCTGAAGAATCAAATCGCTTGGAAAGATCCCACAAAGAAAGATATTTTCACACAAAAGGGGTTCGCCATCCCCGAAGAAGCTCGGGTCTAGTGTACTTTAGCGATGCCAGTTAAACGCACTGTGCGCGTTCATGCGCGCATCCATTTTTCAACCCATGCTGCCCTCTATGTGTACTTTGCTTTCTTACAGCTTTGGAACCAACGCCTCCAGCAACCCTGGCAATGAGTTACTTCAAAGGCTGTCCTTTCTTTGTGTGTCTTTGCATGTGGGAAGAAATTAAAAACAGTGGTGTTTTAAATTGAATAATTTATTTTTAAATCCAACAAGCTGGGGGTACACTGTGGAGTACATTTTTATTGATTTAAAAAAAATTAAAATTAAAAACAATGGTGCAAATATCCAAAATCAATGTCAGGTGTCAAACAAAATACAGTCAAAAGATACAACAGATAACCAGGATGACGCGGCATCATGATGACCAAAGTAAACGCATCTCTAAAAGACAACGCGGCGTCCATCTAAAAGACAACGCGGTGGTCATCCAAAAGATGACGCGATGGTCATAGGTTTTCTGTTGCGCCGTTAGTAGGTTTCTACTGCGTTGGGATTCCTAGGGAAGGGGTTAACCTCCTAGACGCCATGCCATCTAAGTGTTGTTGTTTTTTACATAGGAGTCATTCTTTAATTTTTGTTAGGTGTTTTAAATTGAATATTTTATTTTTAAATCCAACAAGCTGGGGGTACACTGTGGAGTACATTTTTATTGATTTAAAAAAAAATTAAAAACAATGGTGCAAATATCCAAAATCAATGTCAGGTGTCAAACAAAATACAGTCAAAAGATACAACAGATAACCAGGATGACGCGGCATCATGATGACCAAAGTAAACGCATCTCTAAAAGACAACGCGGCGTCCATCTAAAAGACGACGCGGTGATCATCCAAAAGATGACGCGATGGTCATAGGAAAAGACAACGCGGCAATCATCCAAAGATGACGCAACCCTAAGGATCCCTTCCCCAATTGGGGGGAATCTGCGGTACGGTAGATTCACAACAACAAATGTCAGGTGTCAAACAAAATACAGTCAAAATATACAACAGATAACCAGGATGACGCGGCGTCATGATGACCAAAGTCAACGCATCTCTAAAAGACAACGCGGCGTCCATCTAAAAGACAATGAGTGACTGTTCTAAATTGGTAAACGCATCTGTAAAAGACGACGCGGCGTCCATCTAAAAGACAACGCAGTGGTCATCCAAAAGATGACGCGATGGTCATACGAAAAGACAACGCGGCAATCATCCAAAGATGATGGTTATCATCCCATGATAACCAGGAAGATGCGGCATCATGATGACCAAAGTCAACGCATCTCTAAAAGACAACGCGGCGTTCATCTAAAAGACAACGCGATGGTCATACAAAAAGACAACGCAGAGGTCATCCAAAATATGACGCGATGGTCATACAAAAAGACAATGCGGTGGTCATCCGAAAGATGACGCGATGGTCATACAAAAAGACAACGCGGAAATCATCCAAAGAATGTATTGTCAGTAAAGAAATAAATGTAGGATAATATCCAGACAAAATTCGCGCAAGGTATTCAAATCAGCTTTTTCAATAAATACGCTCGCAATGGCAGGAAATACGGCAGCTTGAATCAATTCAACATTTTCACACGACCGACCCGTTCAATTTTCTGATGAATAAATAATCACCAAGTCAACCCATTTCCATTTCGAGATCGCTCACCAATACAACAATTCATACGTTTTCAATCCATGTGTTCAATTCAACAATTCCTCAGCATTAACAAATAATCTCCGCAAAACTGAATATGACGTGAATGAAATAAACCCACCAAAAACTCGATCACTTTGTGCTTCAAAATATTTCTTCCAAAATTGGTCCATGCTATGTACTGTATCTCCAGTTGGCACAGCGAAGTTCCTTTGGTCCTGCACGTGATGTACATGCAGGCAGCAACCACAAGGTCATTCTTCCTTCCGGCAGTCAGTCTTGTGCAACGCCATCTTGAAAAATTTGAAGGCCGTGTCTTGGCAATGCTGGTTTAGTTGCAGTTTGGCACACAACTGGCTAATTTTTCTCTTCGCGTTTCTGAACGTCAGCTCCCTTGAAACTTTGCTAATGACAGTGTATAAGCCTTGCGATAGAAAAAATGAAGCATAAAATTATCCACAAGAAATCCTCCTTCGGATTTGATCATGAGATAATTCTCGAAACAAAAAACTTTAATACAAAGACAACAGTCCAGTACAATGAAAGTCCAATTATCTCGTCTTCAATTAAACACGTATCATTCGTAAAAAAAAAAGACAAAAATTGAGACTCACGCGAAGTTCCTTTGGTCCTGCACGTGATGTACATGCAGGCAGCAACCACGAGGTCGTTCTTCCTTCCGGCAGTCAGTCTTCTGTGCAACGCCATCTTGAAAAAGTTGAACGCAGTGTCTTGGCAGTGCTGGTTTAGTTGCAGTTTGGCACACAACTGGCTAATTTTTCTGTTCTCGTTTCTGAATGTCAGCTCCCTTGAAACTTTGCTCATGACAGTGTATAAGCCTTGCGAAAGAAAAAATGAAGCATAAAATTATCCACAAGAAATCCTCCTTCGGATTTGATCATGAGATAATTCTCAAAACAAAAAACTTTAATACAAAGACAACAGTACAGTACAATGAAAGTCCAATTCTCTCGTCTTCAATTCAACACGTATCATTCGTTAATTTAATTTAACGGCAACGCCGCTCAGAACCACTGATTTACGAGTAAGTTTTCGCTACACTGGTCACTTCACTTCACCTCTGAAGTTTCAAAAGAAAAAGGGCTTATGGTACAGACCACAGCACCCGGCTAGACCTCCCATCGAACTGGCAAGACCAGAAGCGCGGCCCCAGCACTGAATAGCGCGGCTACCAGAGGCCAGCCTTGGCGCTGATTGGCTGCGCGGAAATTTTCGAGTACGCATGTACTGGCGTCGACATCTGGTGGGCAAATGCACCCCTTGTTTGTCCTTGGGCGGGCGCCTATCGCCCACACAGATCACCAGCTTCAAGTCCCGTTATTTCCCAGTATACAATACAGCTTGCATACCACACCAGAAGGACCTTGAGTGTCCCTCAAACGCCGAAAAATATAAAATAATTATAAAATTTTGGCATGCATTTAGATCTGTTTTCAAAAATGAAATTATTTGATAATCACCTTAAAATGCTAAAGTGGGGGATACATTAAATTGAAAATTTGTGTACTTCTTCTAAAGGTATTCTTATATTCCCTACACAATGTAATATAAAAGAGATATATATTCAATATTAAGATTGCAAATGAAGTATAGTTATTTTTAATTTCATCATGAAATGTCCATATGTGAGAAATTAAAGTACATCAGTGTCCTCAATCTTGTACATCAATCTTGTCCCCGTCTATATTATATTCCATGGAAAGGTTATTTTTGCATTGCTGGGGACACACCTTTCATTGATGTGAATATTTTCATACCTCTAGGCATTATGCAAAGGAGTGATACGTCATAGCATGACTTGCATGAATGAATTAGCTGTAATACATGCAATTATCTACTGTATACAGTTGCTTCCAGGAATAACAATTATTGACCACATGTAAAAGTTTTCTGCTGGGCTGGGACACATGTAAAAGCTACCCAAGAATATGACTTCTGGTCACTTATCTCAGTTGAGAAAATGTTACTCCCACAGCTTTCTAAATGGTAAAATTACCTAAATGGTAAAATCACGCTGAAGTACATTAGATCAGGTTAGGTTGTTCTGCCAGTTTTTTAATAACTTAATTAATCAGTTGTGAAGGTGCTGTGCTTTTGGCTTGCTTTTTATTACCAGGCTTGTTTTTATGAATTAAATTAATTCAAATGATAATCAATCACATATAATATGAAATTACATGTTTTTATGTATTACATTAACTAAGATGATAATAAATCACATATAATCTGAAATTATATGACAAATGTAAATGTAATTCATCAAACAAAGTTTAATACAGCAGACAGTAGAGTCTGTGTATTTCTGTATATTTCACCATCATCAGCTGCAGGTCCTTTTCCACATATGGATATTTGACCCCAACTTTTACATTTGGTGGAAGGAAATTCTTCTCCCTTCTAACTTCTCCCTTCTAAGAGTGTGCCAATATGTACAATGTGCTCCTATTTCACAAATTTCGGAAAATTTGTCTTTTCTTTTTCATTGGGACACAAACAGCCAGGCAGCAACAGTGAGGAGCACAGGAGCATGACGTATTACATTACAAACCCTTTGGGGTGCGCCTTTCCTTCCCCTTTTCAGGGCGGGGGGCCTTTGATATCAATATCTATTGTCTCTCGCGGATCCACCACCCTCACTGTCACAACTGACAGAGGTTTTGGAAGAAAAGAATTTGAGTTGGGGAGTTTTGAATGTATTGATTCTAAGTGAATTCAGACAGGGACATTGAAAAAATTTGACTTATGTATTTTGTTTGACACCTGACATTGATTTCGGATATTTGCACCATTGTTTTTAATTTTAATTTTTTTTAATCAATAAAAATGGACTCCACAGTGTACCCCCAGCTTGTTGGATTTAAAAATAAAATATTCAATAAAAAAAAATATTCAATTAAAATCTTCAATTTAAGATGACCACCGCGTTGACTTTGGATGAATTACCGCGTTCACTTTGGATGACCCACGCGTCATCTTTGGATGATTGCCGCGTTGTATTTTTGTATGACCATTGCGTCATCTTTTGGATGACCACCGCGTTGTCTTTTTGTATGACCATCGCGTCATCTTTTGGATGACCACCGCGTTGTCTTTTAGATGGACGCCGCGTTGTCTTTCAGAGATGTGTTGACTTTGGTCATCATGATGCCGCGTCATCCTGGTTATCATGATGCCGCGTCATCCTGGTTATCATGACGCCGCGTCATCCTGGTTATCTGTTGTATCTTTTGACTGTATTTTGTTTGACACCTGACATTGATTTTGGATATTTGCACCATTGTTTTTAATTTTAATTTTTTTTAAATCAATAAAAATGTACTCCACAGTGTACCCCCAGCTTTTTGGATTTAAAAATAAAATATTCAATTTAAAACACCATTGTTTTTAATTTCTTACTGAGGATACATTTTTTGTTGTTGTGAATCTACCTTACCGCAGATCCTCCAATTGGGGAAGGGATCCTTAGGGTTGCGTCATCTTTGGATGATTGCCGCGTTGTCTTTTTGTATGACCATCGCGTCATCTTTTGGATGACCACCGCGTTGTCTTTTAGATGGACGCCGCGTTGTCTTTTAGAGATGCGTTGACTTTGGTCATCATGATGCCGTGTCATCCTGGTTATCTCTGTTGTATCTGTATTTTGTTTGAAACCTGACGTTGGTTTGATTTTAGATATTTGAGTCTGAAGAAAGGCTCCCCAAATCAATACATTTTTCTGCGCCTATCAAGGATCCTTTTGTTGGCGTAACTGAAGTATACTTTGATTTGAATGTATTTAGGCCTGAAATTGGTTTCGAATGTGTATGGTGGTTTGCATTAAAATTTGCTCATTTGGGAATTGTATGTAGAGCGGAAAATGAGTCTCTCAACCTTCAATGTAGTGTACCCCCCGCTTGGATTTAAAAATAAAATATTCAAGTTTAAACACCATCGTTTTTAATTTTTCCCAGATGACGCACTGACACACAAAGAAAGGATGTCGCGCTTGCCGCTTAGTTCCTGGTGAGGTAGCATTTGATGTCACTCTTTTGTCTTTGCCAGGATTGTTGTCCATGTTGGTTCCGAAGCTGTAAGAAAGCGAAGTACACATAGAGGGCAGCACGGGTTGAAAAATGGATGCGCGCATGAACGCGCACAGTGCGTTTAACTGGCATCCCTAAAGTACACTAGACCCAGAAGCTCGACAGATAATCAAGACGAATGTAGGCCATTGTACTTGTTTACTAACCTTGTGACGTATATTATCTTTGATTGTAGGTTCTCGAAGCACTTGGCATAGAAGGCCAACGTCCTAGTACAGCTGCGCAATGTGTCGCGCACAGCGCAATAATAGAATTTCCCTGTGGTGTTTGGCCTTGTTTCATCCCGGACTTGGTTGACAGCGTGTGCAAAGAAGGTGTTCCTGACTCATTGAAAGCAGCATGTCTCGAGCCTATTGGCTACATCTGTCAAGACATCGTAAGTACATTCAACAACGTCATTCTTGCCATTTAGTGAGTTCGGTCAGCAGAAGTGATGACCGATTTGTTGTGGAGATTGCTAGCTAGGCATGATCTTGGCCATTTTTGGGTTTATAATATGGTTTTTTGTTTGTATCTTTCAGCAACCTGCAGTTCTTGCCAAAGTATGGAACAGTATCCTGACAGCCATAGTCAATGGGATGCGTTTACCTGATGAGAACATTCGGTTAGCTGCTGTCAATGCCTTGCTGACTTTGCTTGAGTTCACGCAGAACAATTTTGCCGTCAAAGTTAGTCCAACAATCTCTTCTCATGCCTTCAGAAGTATAATTTATGTTGATAAATAAATATGATGTCTTGTTCGTGTTGAATTGCAGAGCAAACGGAACGTCATCATGACCGTGACATGCAAAGCCACGACGTCCAGTAATACGTAAGTTCGCGTGGTGGCCTTGCAGTTTTTGATCCAAATTATCTTGTTGTACTACAAGTATATAGAGGTTTACGTGGCCATTGTCCTTCTGCCGGTTAGTTGAAGTTCTTCTCCTTGGCAGGGGAATTGTTGCAGGAAAGAAACGCCCTGTAGGATGAGAAAAGACAAAAAGGATTTGAGAAGAGATATGTGAAGATGGAATTTGTTGCAATTTTTCGTTGCATTTATTTTAAGACCAGGAAGATGTGGAAAAATCTGTGTGTGTAGCTTGGGCCTCTTTCACGTGTCAAGAGCAATATGATTTTTTATGAATATGCCTCGTGAACCTGGATCTAAGTGCGCAAAGTAGGAATCAATTTACGTTTTCTTCCAAGTCCCTTCATGTGAACATTTCGGAAATAAATGTGATGTTGCTTCGCCTCATGAATGTTACCATTCAATGCCTTTTCCATAGATAACTCTGGAGGCCATAAATTTGGACACGAGCGAACTGGTGCTGCAAGGAATAGAATTTTGGAGCACGGTGTGCGAAACCAAACTGGACTTCTATCAACGCGTCAGAAGCAGCGGAGTTGGAGCGACCCGCGCTGGCTGATCAGTCCCGATATTACGCTGAAGGTGCACTCAAGTTCGTTCTCCCAATAGTGCTCAAAACGTTGACCATACAAGACGAATGCAATGAGGGCGAATGGATGCCGGCGTGTGTCTGTTGCTGAGTGCACAGAAGACGCCATTGTCGGGTATGTCGTGCCTTTTGTCACGCAGAATATTGGGAATGGGGACTGGAGGTATCGTGAGGCTGCTGTGATGACATTCGGGTACATTCTTGAAGGTGAGGAACGAAGAATTGCTCTCTTTTGGGCGTTTATTTTTTGGCCATTCTTATAGGAAACGCAGTAAAACTTTATCTTGAGGCAATTTGGCCATTTTGTTTTTCAAAGAGTATGGACGAAAAATGATGAGATTGTAACCGAGCATCGCAATGGCGAAGTTTTACTGCACTTTCTTTTGTTCTGCCGTTTTTTGGGGGGCTCCTATATAGGAGCCCCCCAAAAAACGGCAGAATAATACAAAGAGTTGTGGTTTTGCGTTTTTCACTTAAAATGATGAATGACATGTCTCTTGGCAGTCTGGCTTTGTTCAAATACTGTACTTGAGATTGGCAGTTCTCGAATTGTTGAAATTTCAGGAGGGATTTATTATGTGATGATCCTGTTGTCTCAGGTATCGGATACAAGAATGATCAAAGGTGTTACGCTTTCGAAAAGAGAGATGTTTTTAACCAAATTTTCATTTTGTCAGGACCGTCAAATGAGAAGTTGAAGCCTATGATGGATGAAGCGTTGCCTGTGCTAATGAATTTGATGTCAGATTCAAGTATCCAAGTGCAAGATACGACGGCTTGGACCCTGGTTAGAATATGTGAATACTTGGACATCACGTCAAATTCTGAAGTTCTCACTGTGCTTCTTAACGCCTTCTGTGTTCCACTCAGTGATGAACCATCTGTCGCCGCCAACGTTTGTTGGGTTAGTGTACTTTGAAAACATCATTATAAAGTAGTTTTTGTGATTTAGTGTGATATATTTAGAGCATTTTAAATTGGAAAATCTGCTGAATGTTTCTTGATGTGCTCTGAGATTTCAAAAACCGTTTACATTTTTCAATTATATTCTTGTCCCTCGGGGAAGATTTAAGAAGTCGAAAGCATTTACTGTATCTAGATATTACCTGTGCACACCTTCTGCAGATTAAATAGCATTTTTGCATTATTGTTTGCTTCTTCTTGCAAAATTTTCATCACTGTATGAAGTTCATTTTAACGTGTGTACAGTTAAAGATACAGACTGAGTTTTGTGTTGTTGAACATGTATTTAAATTTATGCATAAACAGTTACTGTATTGAAAAAAAAGAAAAAACAATTTTATCAACAGGCCTTGAAAAGCTCGAGCTTTGCCGCGTACATGACCGTCCAAACCAGTGACAAAGAGAGCATTGAGCCGGATGCATATCCCTTTTTGCTGTTTTTCCACATGTTGATGCAGAAACTGTTGTGGACAACCAAACGAGCCAATGGCGCACAGGTCAGTGATTTAATTCATGGGCGGTAGAGATTTTCGCGTACAGTATTTGAAAAGACTGAATTGTCAAATTTGATGGAATGCTGTTTTGTGCTAGGTCTAGTTTGTAGTACAGTATATAATTTTACTAGGTGTACGTTTTCTCTTGTAATTAACCAAAATTCACCATTAAATCCAAGCTTGATGTGCACTTCAACTTATAGAAATGTTAGCAAATTTTACATTCACATATGACACCTGCCCTTATTTTTCCCTCTAAATTTTGTGAAAAGTTTACCTCTTTTTTCAGGCTGATTTTTGGTACAAAGATGTTTGGGCGTTTGCGTATTGAGCATGACCAAGTTGTGGCAGGGTCACACACACATTAACGTTCAATGGGAGCATTTTTTTAAATCATGAATGCCAGTTTTGGGCATTTGTGTGTGTTCAATGTGGGCACTTCTATTAAAATACAAGTTTGGCATTCATGTATTGAGAATGTATATTGTGTATAAAATAATGTATTTTTCTAACAAGATTCTTAGGCTTACTGAAAGTGTTTTATACAAAACAGACCAATTTGTTATGACATTTTCAAAGTTGAGGAGTGGAAAAATTTTTCACACCAGACTATAATGAATCACTTTTTCTAATGTAAAAAATTAGAAAAAATTATGGATCTTGAAAAACTTGGCTGGGCATGCATGGTTGGTTTGGGATGGCATGCATCTCAAAAGTTTGGGATGCATTCCATGGGAATTTCTGCATGCATCCCAAAAATTTGGGATGTATGCAGTTCACATTGCATGCATCCCAAACATTTGGGACGCATGCAAAAATTCACTTAGCATGCCTGTGGGCCAGATCTGTCCAGCGGAGGCTTTTTATCTTGCACGCAGAGCCAGCATGGAAAATCTCCACAAAAAATTAAGACCCTCAAAAAGGAAAAATTGCAAGTTTTTCAAGATGTCTTCAGCCTGCAATTTTGGTTAGGAATTTTATTAGGGCTTCATGAATTCTGTTATGATTCCTTCTAACCAGAAAGAACAGTTTGCATTGCTTTGTGATGTCAGTCATTTTTTTCTTTCATATTAGAGGAAAGGGTTTTGCAATTTTGTAATTCAAATCCTACCCCAGCATTTTCTGTTATGTTTTGAATTTAATTGCATATCTTCATGAGGGAAAGATATACAGCAGCTTAATTTTTTTAATAGCGTGAACAGAAGTAGACCATCATGTAAAACTGCAAATGTGAAGGGACATGGACAAATTTAGAAAGACAATTCAACACTGAGCCAATTGAGATGGAAAATTTGAGTCAGGGTCAGTGTGAGACAGGTCCAATTTGAGACAGAGGGCCAATTTGAGCCAGGGTGATGTAGTGACAGGGACACCTGGAGACATGGACATTTAGATAAAAAGACTATTTGGTACTCTCCCAAAGCAACTCTGCACAAAATATGTTTCTTTCTTATACACATATTTTCTAGTTTTCTCCAGATTCTTAATGAATCTTAAGGAGTTTTCAATTGCACTAAAATTTCAGGTTTTTCTCAGATCCCCCCCTCCTCAACTCTCTACACCACATTTTTTATATTGCACTTAATTTGCTTTTTTGGCTTTAGCATGATTCAGTTTGCAGATGTTGTGCTTTGGAAGTAGAATATTTAAAATGCTTAGCTATACACATTCCTTCTATTAGTTGTGTGCCATGGATTTAGTGTGTTCTGGTATGATCTTAGGTGTATTACAATGTATAACAATGGGCCAATAGAGGAAGGGAAGAAAGACAAAGTTGGTGTTTTAAAGAACCTAAAAAACTTCTGGTTATGCTCATGGGATGTTCATTCATGTCACTTCTTGACCAAGCAGTGCCATTTTTGTTCACTTTCACACCTTTAATATTAGATATCAGGGAGAAACACAGGAGCATCTTTTTGATGAATTATCCCTGCCTCCAAAAGTTTCTGCCTCAAATTGTCCATCTCTCCAAAAATGTCTGTCTCAAATTGGCCCTGTTTCAAAATGCCAGTCTGGATTTATCCTAGATTCAAATGTGAATTTAACTGGCTTAGTGATTGACAAAAACCTCAAAAAATCCCTTACTATTACGTAAACTTGATGCCAGACACATACTGTATCATGGGTTTGACTATCCCAAAAAGGCCATGAACATTTCATGTGTTGAGAGGTTGAATGAATGCTTCTGTGCATAAAGAACCATTTTTAAAATTTGTAAGAAAGGCTATGTATTCTGTAAAATCATTATATAGACACAATATTTTCTCCCCATTAGTTACTTTTTTAAACACAGGCTTTTATTTTTGTTTCAGCCAAAATTATTCTCAACATTTAAATTTACTCATAATTTGCAGTTACTTATTGCTTTTGGACTTTGGTTGAATCTTTTTGAAAAGTTTTGCAGATTGAATTCTATGATTCCATTAAGAAAAATCCAGTCATAAAGTAATGAAGATACAAGTTGAACTGTATCAGTAAAAATGAAGCAGAAAAGTTTGTAGATGAAAAAAGTCAGATAGCCAGATAATAAAAATCTTGAAATACTTATTGAACTTGTTTATAGACTAGAACTTGATTGCTTATAAGTTAGAATAGTTTAAAGTTGAACCATCACAGAAATTCATGAATTAAACAATCTACTGGACAACATTTCTTCCTTTTTTCCATTGTGGCCCGCATAATGCTCTTCTACTTCAATGTGGCCCTTGGCCACTTCTGAGTGGGGCACCACTGACCAACAAGATTCAAAATAATTTTTGGCACTTACATTCACTCAATTATTCTACTGTACTCACTTGCAAGTGCATAACTTTGCCCGCAGTCCAAAATCAAGCCAAAAGGGGATGGCATAATTTATTGCAACGTTGGTGTTAAAGTCTTCATTGAAGCCACCATGTGCACTTTGGGAAGTTGAGAATAATGTCCCAGGGCTCCTGAATGGCAAGACAAGGAACAATGCAATGCCACCTTAGCCACTCCTAATCACAAAGGTAGTGCTTGTGACAGAGGACATTGTCATGGTAAATCAGATGTTCTCTTTAAACTAGCAGACGACGCTCCGAGCAGCCGCGTCGTCTCTCNAAATGAGGTCTTGAACTGCAGATTACTTCATTTTCAAGCCTTGGCATATTTTTATATAATTTTTACATTTGCAGTATTTTTTTGGGAAGACAGGAAGTAGCTGAGTCCCAAATGGGGCCAACAGCAGGTAATGTGGTAATTGCATGTTAAATTTGAGCATGTTCCATTCATTGTAATGCAGTCATTACTTTCTTTTTTAAAGAAAATCAAAGCATAAGGAACTCACTTCATTCAATTTTTCTGGGTTCTCTAGGGTGGCCTTCATCCATTCCTTGTCTGGGTCTGCATGGAATTCAGTCACATAATTGATAGGGCCAACTTCCTCACCAACACTCATTCATGGCCCTGAAGTGAGACCAGAAGGCACTTCTTGCTTCCAATGCAAATGTTGGATCTTGTTCTTGAACATCACATCCATCAGAATTTATGGGAGCCAGCACTGGAGGATCATGCATCAAGTCCCCAGTAAATCCAAGGGGATGCATGATCCCCTCCTTCTTCGCTGCATCAAGGAAATTCCTTGGGGTGTTTTCCTGTTCCAATGGGATTTTGACTTTATTGGTGACCCCAATTATCCCACGCGTGTCCACCTTCTTCAGCATCTGATGATTGATGCATATGAGATTTTTGTCCTTCAATTTTGAACAGATGGTATGGTCAGCTGCTTCTCTGGACCATGTCACTTCTCCTTGTCCTTCTGGTTCAAGCGCTTGGATCAAATCAGGTTTGCACCTTAACTTCACCAAGCCCTGCCTCCATGCATCTTTTTGGAAGTAGAGCCACTTAATGTAGCTCCCAAACCAACAAAACTCTTCCAGACCAATGTATTTGGTCCAGCACAATACAACACCATGCTGTGAGGCATAGAAAGCTCTCTCTGACATCTTCAACTCACAATGAAATGGTTCAGGAAATGTACAGATAAAACTACTGGTTATGCTTTGCACAAACCCTAGGCATGCAATCTCTGTCACTTTTCACACTAACTTGAAAACCATAAGCAATTATTTTCTCGTCAAAATCCCCATGGAACAGTCAAAATCCCATTGGAACAGGAAAACACCCCAAGGAATTTCTTTGATGCAGCAAAGAAGGAGGGGATCATGCATCCCCTTGGATTTACTGGGGACTTGATGCATGATCCTCCAGTGCTGGCTCCCATAAATTCTGATGGATGTGATGTTCAAGAACAAGATCCAACATTTGCATTGGAAGCAAGAAGTGCCTTCTGGTCTCACTTCAGGGCCATGAGTGTTGGTGAGGAAGTTGGCCCTATCAATTATGTGACTGAATTCCATGCAGACCCAGACAAGGAATGGATGAAGGCCACCCTAGAGAACCCAGAAAAATTGAATGAAGTGAGTTCCTTATGCTTTGATTTTCTTTAAAAAATGAAGTAATGACTGCATTACAATGAATGGAACATGCTCAAATTTAACATGGAATTACCACATTACCTGCTGTTGGCCCCATTTGGGACTCAGCTACTTCCTGTCTTCCCAAAAAAATACTGCAAATGTAAAAATTATATAAAAATATGCCAAGGCTTGAAAATGAAGTAATCTGCAGTTCAAGACCTCATTTGTCTATTTATGTCCATTTTTACATCCACAGCAACATGTTTTCTGAAGCCAACTCACAAATTCCATTGGAGAGTAAAAATATGATTTTTGAAATTCAAGAAAAGTACTTTCTAATGCAGCTAAATTCAGGATTTTTTATGTCCTTGTAGCCTGGTTAGTTCTGAATGCTTTGGCATATTTTATTTCATTTTATGAAATTTTGATCAATCACAACAAGTGCAAGAACCTTGAACCCCAAATGGGGCTCATGGCAGTTGGGGTGTAAAAAAATTATTTTGGAAATTTCTTGAAAATGTGTCAAAAATTTTCTTATGTTGAATAAACCTATCTGCAGGGTTGATCATTGAAAAGGGATAATAAAAACATGTGAAACAATTTTTTAAAGAATTAAAATCAATTATTTTTTTCTCTAGTTATGAAAAAGACAATTTTTTTGAAAAAAAATTTGTGAAGATGCCCCTAAGCTTTTAAACTTCATCCAACAGCTGGAAAATAATAAAAAATTCCATGTTGTTTAGGCTGAATGGTGATCATAGAGTTTTTAAGCTAGAAAAATTTTTTTAGAAATTTTTGGAAAATACAAAAAAAATTTTGAATTTCATTCCCAGTGGCATTTCATTATCTAAAATGAATCAGAAGCTATGTTTGCACTCACATTTACCTGACAATTGTACAATTCAGACAAAAAAAGTTGAAAAAAAAATTTTATGTATAAAAAACTTTTCTAACTAGTAAAAAAGGAGATGGTACCTGCCATGAGCCGCATTTGGGGATCAAGTTAAAAATTCAAATATTTGACAAAATTTTCAATTTAAAATTAAAAAAAATGTCCCCAGCCTATGTAAATGTAAATGAAGTGAACTGATGCAAAAATTGATGTGTAAGAAATTTGGCAGTTAATGGATTAAAACTGTTATCTTTTGCATGTACTCTTCAAACTTTGAAGTTTAAAATTTCTGGTTTGAGATAAGGAAATTCACAACAAAATCAATTGATTTTTTATCTGAAGAATTTTTTCAACTGGGACCTAACAAATGTCCCAGGGAGTGCTATTACTCTCCTGCTGAGTGAGGATTTGGTAAAGAAGGAGTGGGTTGCAGGTGTAAACTCCCCATATATTTTCCTGGGGACCATTGGTTTTGTCTTTGCAACTCACTGCAAGGACATGGACATAATCTCCGTGAATCTGCATTTTGGAGGATTTTGGAAGCTTTGATGAGCATGGAGATAAAAAATATACTTATAATTCTCTTACAATTACGCTTTTTGGACCTACCAGGTACTCATTCCATCTCAAGGACATGTCCCGTTTTGAGGCATTTCTTGAAGCAGACAGTGAAAAAAATGTGAACTGCAAGAATGTCCTCCATCACAAGTACTACCTTTATGATGAGGAGTGGCTAAGGTGGCATTGCATTGTTCCTTGTCTTGCCATTCAGGAGCCCTGGGACATTATTCTCACCTTCCCAAAGGGGGCACATGGTGGCTTCAATGAAGGTTTTAACACCAACATTCCAATAAATTATGCCATCCCCCTTTGACTTGATTTTTGACTGTGGGCAAAGTTATGCACTTCTGCACTTCTTTGAAGCGAGTGAGTACAATAGAATAATTGAGTGAATGTAAGTGCGAAAAATTATTTTGAATCTTGTAGGTTGAAGGAAAACATTACATTTCTTATGGAACCATATGTCAGCCGCCTCATGCCTGATGTATACAAAACTTGGCCGCAGGTGGGAATGGCAACAATCCCAGGATGGTGGTGTGACCTGAAAGTTGGTCAGGTGACTGCTACGGTGAAGCCACCAACTTTAACCTCATTGAAGATAACAAAAATGTATGCTTCTTTGTCACTTGCAAATTATCTCAAATAAACAATGAAAAGAGCAAAACCAAGTTCACTATATGAATTACATTGAAACATCACTTAGATGCTCAAACAAAGCAGTTGAATTTTATTTTAGAAGTGATATGTTTTGCTAATTCTCTTGTCCAATTTTGTGAGAATTTGCACATAATGCATGAATAAGTTTGATGTTGACTAAATTTATTCATGTATTTATGACATTTGTGCATCATAATATACAGTATTTAGAAGTGATGTGTTTTGGTATTTTTCAGCCCTGAAACAGAAGAGGAGTAATGGAAGAGTTTGACTGCTGATGATGCAAGGACAAAACACCTGTACAAGTTACTGTAGGCAAGGATAGAATTCTTGGAGGGAAAGGTGAAGGAAGTCATGAAGAAAGGGTGTGTGAATTGTTATTTCAATCTTCAAAATTTGTGTGTTGATTTTAAAATGGGCCATTTTTGGTGATTCTTTGAAGGAAGAAGAACATTACTCCAGAACTGTATGAGCTGATTGTAGAAGAATTCACTCTGTGCAAGGCAAAGAACTCAAAGAAGAGGAAGACAAAAGGAGGATTACAAGTGAACCTGGATCCCAGAGATGATCTCACAATGCCAACAACATACTTCACCACCCAGAGCACCATTATATATTCAAGTCTGAGAAGATCTGAGAAAGACTATGAAGAAATTTTGGAGATTGAGAAGAAGAAATTGCAGATAGATGATGATGTTGAAGTGTTGATGAGTCCTGACTGATGAATGAATTTCATCTGAGAAAAAGTTTGTTGTACTTTGCCTCTAACTCTTAAATTTTTCAGTGTGCATTCAGTTCATGTTACGTTCCCTTTCTTTATATTTTCAGAAGATCAATCAATGTGCATTACTTAATCAACAAAATGCAAGAGTGCATAACTGGAAGTTTGGCCAAGCTGTCTTTTCTTGATGTACAACAAGAAAAACTTGGTCCAGCAAGTGCAATGGCATTAGTGACTGCATTCTAGAATGCTCTTATGTCAAAGGCTCCCTATCTTTTTAATGGGGAGTTGTCAAGCAAGGAATTGGAAAGCATGAGAGCAGATGTTGACTTCATGGAAGATATTCTAGCTTCATACTTGCCCTATATCTTTGGATAGAGGCCAGGCCTCTAATAGATGCCAGCCTCTAATAAACGTCAGGGCTCAAGGGAATAGTAGCTGGTCTCCAATAGTGGCTGAGTAAAAAAAAGTGCAAGGGGGGATTTCAAGAATAAAAATTGTATCATATGTCAGCTGCCTCATGCCTGATGTATACAAAACTTGGCTGCAGGTGGGAATGGCAACAATCCCAGGATGGAGGTGTGACCTGAAAGTTGGTCAGGTGACTGCTACAGTGAAGCCACCAACTTTAACCTCATGGAAGATAACAAAAATGTATGCTTCTTTGTCACTTGCAAATTATCTCAAATAAAGAAAATAGCCAAACCAAGTTCACTATATGAATTACATTGAAACATCACTTACTTGCTCAAACAAAGCAGTTGAATTTTATTTTAGAAGTGATATGTTTTGCTGATTCTCTTGTCCAAGTTTGTGAGAATTTGCACATAATACATGAATAAGTTTGATGTTGACTAAATTTATTCATGTATTTATGACATTTGTGCATCATAATATACAGTATTTGGAAGTGATGTTTTTTTGGTATTTTTTAGCCCTGAAACAGACAAGGAGGAATGGAAGAGTTTGACTGCTGATGATGCAAGGACAAAACACCTGTACAAGTTACTAAAGGCAAGGATAGAATTCTTGGAGGGAAAGGTGAAGGAAGTCATGAAGAAAGGGTGTGTGAATTGTTATTTCAATCTTCAAAATTTGTGTGTTGATTTTAAAATAGACCATTTTTGGTGATTCTTTGAAGGAAGAAGAGCATTACTCCAGAACTGTATGAGCTGATTGTAGAAGAAGTCACTCTGTGCAAGGCAAAGAACTCAAAGAAGAGGAAGACAAAAGTAGGATTACAAATAAACCTGGATCCTAGAGATGATCTCACAATGCCAACAACATACTTCACCACCCAGAGCACCATCATATATTCAAGTCTGAGAAGATCTGAGAAAGACTATGGAGAAATTTTGGAGATTGAGAAGAAGAAATTGCAGATAGATGATGATGTTGAAGTGTTGATGAGTCCTGACTGATGAATGAATTTCATCTGAGAAAAAGTTTGTTGTACTTTGCCTCTAACTCTTGAATTTTTCAGTGTGCATTCAGTTCATGTTACGTTTCCTTTCTTTATATTTTCAGAAGATCAATCAATGTGCATTACTTAATCAACAAAATGCAAGAGTGCATAACTGGAAGTTTGGCCAAGCAGTCTTTTCTTGATGTACAACAAGAAAACTTGGTCCAGCAAGTGCAATGGCATTAGTGACTGCATTCTAGAATGCTCTTAAGTCAAAGGCTCCCTATCTTTTTAATGGGGAGTTGTGAACAAGTGAGGATTTGGAAAGCATGAGAGCAGATGTTGACTTCATGGAAGATATTCTAGCTTCATACTTACCATATATCTTCCGATAGAGGCCAGGCCTCTAATAGATGCCAGCCTCTAATAAACGCCAGGGCTCAAGGGAATAGTAGCTGGTCTCCAATAGTGGCTGAGTAAAAAAAAGTGCCAGGGGGGATTTCAAGAATAAAAATTGAATTTGTTGTGCCATGTCACATCATTTTTATCATCTGCCTAAATGTGATAAATTTATTTTTGAATTTGTTAATTCTGTATTTTACACATTTTATGTCTTGACATGAGTCATCTTCTTGACTCAATGTGTAATTCATGCATGAGGGATGCTTCATAAATTTTGAACGTTTGTGAAATAGGTCCAATGGAATTTCAAAAATTCCAACTTTTTCTTGTTACTTCATAGCCCCACCATTTGGTACAACTTCAGTGCTGTTCAATGCAGTCTCCTCTGACTTCAATGGATTTTTTCATGCAATATAAACCCAATAAAAGAACAGTGCCAACAATCTATGTTTGCCTTAGCTGATGAAGATACTCTTTGATGATAGAAATGAGGCTGTCACTGTCCTCAAAATCAATCCCTTTCAGATCATTCTTCACTGTGGAAACAGCCAGAAGTGAAAGAATATTTTTTCATAGAATTTTTTTCCAAGCATGTTTGACATACAATTTTTTTCCAAACATATTTGTCATCAACTTTTTCCCAAAAAAATCTATATACCCTGTAAGGTTTTATATTTGGTGATCCAAAGTTTCAAGCCTTACACCTTGAATTTGTTTTCTGATTAGCTGAATTATAAATTTGGCAGAGTACTTATTTAGGAGGAATTAAAACTGATTGGTCAGTGCGCAAACTTTCTGGGGAATTATTTCCCCACTATCGCTGACCTTCCTTTTTCAATCAAAAACACAGTATAAAATACAGCACACTCAGGTTTCAATACACAAGTACAAAAAAGGTTCAATATGCAATTGTGATCTCAGAAAAGTAAAATTGAGTTCAGGAATTCCAGATATGGAGGAAAATAAATTTCACAAGAGTATTTTCCCAATTTTCTCAGACACAGAATTTTGAATGCAGAAGAATAAATAGGTACAGGGCTCCCAGTGAAATATACAAGGCGTAGAATTTTGCTCAAAATTATAGATAAATTTGGACAGTTTTGAAGAGACACAAAGGTAATCCAGAATTGGATTTGTTGGTTTTGAACAACACTCAACACAAAAGGATTTCATAGAGTCCACAAAAGGTAAAAATTCCAAATGTTAACGCATGCAAAAATACTTTGCTGACGTTCAGGATTTGACTGTGTCTGTTGTACAAAATTCATGAGGTTTTATGCAATCTTCCCTGCCCGTTTTGGCGCAATTTTTTCAACAGAAAAACACCCAGGTGCTTTGATTTTTGAAGTTTGTAATATGCCAGATGTTGGCAGTCTGTTAGCGCATTTTAGTGTTGTTTTCCAGAGTTCTGTGCATGTTTTTCCTTGCACTGGGTGTTGTTTTACGAGCTCAACAGGGATTTTCAGCAGTAAACCAATATCCTGAGGGGTTTGTTTTTCTGGGAGGGTTATTTGCTTTTTGTTCTGACAGAAATTGTCTGAAGCTTGGGGATAAATGGTTTTTCAAGAAATAGGTTTTGCTCTACTAGTCACCAGCAGCTGGTTGTAATTTTTTTCCCCCAGCTCAAAATTTTCATGGAAGGGAATATCTCCCTTCTTTTATGAGTATGCTGATTTTACAATAGGATCCAATTGCCCCAATTTCGGGGACTGCTTTTTTCTTTCTCTCTTTGCCAATTTTCCAATAGGCTTGTATTGCCCCAATTCCAGGGAACAGTTTTTTCTTTCTTGCTCTCATCTTTTTTTGGCGCATCCCAAGATGTGTCGATTAAATTTCAAGTCCATGGTAATTTCCCCCTTTTGTGGTGGTATTCTTTGCTGCCAAAATAGATTTTGCACATACCCTGTGACTTCTGTCAGTTCCTGACAGTGGAGAATGATCCAAAAGGGAATGATTTTGAGGACAGTGACATTTTCATTTCTGCCATCAACATACCTTGATTAAGTGAAGCAATAATCAATTTTTGGCACTGTTTTGATCATTGGGTTTATTGCATGAAACAAATGAATTGAAGTCAGCAGATACTGCATTGAAAAGCACTCAAATGCTTCCAAGTGATGGGGCTAGGCAAATGAAAACAAAATTTAGAATTTTTGAAATTTTGTTGAATGTATTGCAGAAAGTTTCAAAACTTATGAACTAACCCTTGTATGTATGGTCTCAGCATGGGGAGGAATATTGGGGGAAAACATAGTTCTGTATATTTTTGCAAAGCAGAATCACTGTAAAAAAAAAACAAATGTATACATACACACAGAGAATACTCTGATGCCAACTTCAGGATACAGTACTGTATGTCAGGCAGGTATTGACAAAGAATTGGAAGAATGAAGGTACGCAGTCACTCAGCCTTTAATGGCCGGATCCTCCAAAATGGAGTCCCTTAAAGTAGCACGTTTGAATAGCAGACCCACAGGCAACCGCAGAAGGAAATCTACAAGACTTCCACACACACACACTCAGACGTAACTCAGACAAGACAATCTCTCAGCAGGAATAATCAGACAACTGCCGTCAGGCAATGCTCTCGTAGTAGTGAAGTCTTTGGGGACTTTGCTGGACTTCTGCCGCCTTCCTGATCTTATCATTATTCACCCAGTTTGCTGCATTGTGATAAACCGGGTGCCAATCTGCTTCCAGGTCCATGGGCCACTATGTGTGACATAGGCATGCCCAAGCAAGAATGCTATGCTTGGGTCATGCTGCGTGTACCCAAACCCACAAACCCCCCCCCCCCTTTGGGGCAACAGTGGCCAGCAGGCTGGCAACAGCCAAAGGACCCCAAACCGGGGTTGCATGGATGTTGCTGCTGCTGTGGGGGCTGGGAGGTGAGGGTAAGGTGGCACCAGGGGACACAGAGCATCCTCGACTGGGGGTAGGCCTCAAAGATGGTGGCACACAGGGGCACCAAGAGAGCCTAAGAAGAAAGTGCAGAACTTGTCATTCAAATCAGGGATCCCACGTGGAGTGGAGGTCCCAAATTTGGTCAAACGTGTTACCAAAAAAAGGAAACGTCAAGTTAAATGTGAACTGGACTGGTGTTGTAGGTAACCCTGATCCCTTGGTTTGTTGTTGCTGCTCCATGTGTGGAGTTTCCATTCTCAGCTTGGCTGGCTGCGCCTTGCAGTGGTTGCGGTCATTGGTCTGGTCCAGTGCATGTACATGTCTAGCGGGGACCCCCTGGGGAAAAGAAAATGGTTTGTGATGGGCCATGGTCTTACCACCAATCGCTGCTGGTGCAGCCTTTGGGTTGTTCAGCACAGATACAGTGTGAATGTGCGGACGGCCGTCTCCCAAGTGGAGGCTGGCTCCCTGCATGAGCTTGCATCCTTTGGGGCTCAATGAGCCAACCAGGAGGGTCCATGTAGTAGCCGCCAGAGTTGATCTTAATGTTGCGTCAGCAATGGCCGTGGCTCCCGGAGCGTGATTGTTTGGTGCGCCAGCGCACAGCACTCTTTGGCGTGATTTGTTCCAATTTGGGCGGAGTGCTGATATGTGTCCATCTTCTTCCCACAGATTCTTGAAGCTACTTGCATACCGCAAAAAGAACAGAAAGTGAAAAACACCGCAAAGGAAACCAAACAAAAGGACAACTGTGCGTGTCAATCCATGTATCTACCATTCCCAGCACCACATTAGCTACCAGATTTCAAATTGTCTGCAACGAAAAAGGGAAAGCACAATGGTTGCTGATTGCAATGGATCCACCACTGAAGCAAGAACATGGTGGGGATCCCCTTGCAACTCCAAAAAGACATATGTTGGAGGAGGACATCCTGGAGAACAGCATCTCAGGTAAGTGATGCCTCACAAAGTGTGATTGTCTTGGACCGTCATCTCTCTCATTAAATTTTCATGCCAGATGGCAAGGATCCCCCATGGGAGGCACAAGAAGCAAAAGAACTTGTGAACAATACTGCCATCGGGTTGCAGTTGAGGCCACCAGATTATGCCAATTATCAACACCCACTGATCCTTGGGAGCAAGTTCAACTTGGACAAATGCTTTGTGAATATTGCCAACAGCAAAGTCCTCAGTGAATCTCCAGCCCAGAAGGATTTTGGTTATCCGAGGCAAGATGTTTGCCCCCTGGCTGAACAATTGATTACACAAGAGGCTGCCAGGGTCTGCCACGTTGCCAGCCATGATGACCCGGAGGGGTGTTGATGTGCTCAATGGCTGCACAACCCCATGATGCAGCAGCTCAGTGTACGCAATGCCTTGCTGATTCATTTCTTCCAAGGTAGTGGGCATAATGATGCCATTGTTGATCCAGTTTGTAAAAAATTCCTTGCAGGCCTTGGCCATCGGGCCACCTGCCCGCAGGAGTTTTATGACCAACTCACTTCTCTGCACCCTGGTGCGCAAGTTTGGTTTACATTGATCTGGGTACAAGGAGGTCTTGAGGAGGGGCCCCTGGACTGATGACAAGTTGGCAAAGATACGCCTGAAATTCCTTGTCCCTCAAACACTGCTCTTCCCATGGATCGCTCAAAATATTGATGCAATCCTGGTACTCATATTGCAGGATGAGACTGTTGAGTTTGCCATCAGAGACCAGGTTGGGGGCTTTGAGTGCCATGCACGCCAGGGGTGTAAGGACCAGCGCCTGTGCCTGTTGGGCTGCCCACGTTCATTGTGCTACAATTCCCAGATGTGGAGGCACCCCAAGAAACCCTTGTGTGCAAATGGGTGGTGTGATATCCCTGTACAAGGGTACCAGATCATTGCCCCCAAGGACAATATCAAAGTTAAGGGCTGTCTTGGTCAGGATGCGCCTGTCTGCCAAGTCAAATTACTCCAGCCAGGGAACGGCGCATGGGTTGGACCCTCTCCATGGCTTGACATGAGGTACAACAAGGGCCATGGTATAAAATGTGGGGGAGTTGGGCCCATTTAGATGAGGTGAACAGCCTCAGTAGCTGTGATGGGATTAGCCCAATCCACGCCGCCGCCGATGATGTATGGCAGACATGGTTCCATTGGCAAATTAAGCCATTGGAATAGGGCCTACCAAATGAGCATCAGCTGGGCCCAGGAGAGCATATGCTGTACGCCCTTCAGGCTCCAATTTGATGGCAGCCATCTCCATGAAGGGGCACGTAGGCCCTGGCTGTGGAGCAGGAACAACCAGGACAATGTGGCACTTGGCCTCTGGTGGTTGTCATGCGGCGGGCGCAACACCAACCTGAGCAGTGGAGCTGCCACTGTGGGTGCTGCGGGAGCTGCCAGCGCAGCAGGTGCTGCCAGCGCTGCCTGTTGGACAGCAGGTGCGGCAACAGCTGCTGGGGCCCCGGCTGCAGTGTGTTGCTGGCCTCAGTTGCAGGTTGTTGAATGATGCACCTGCTGGCAATGGCAACACCTGCCAGGTCCCGTACAATTGTTCAAATAATGGTCCTGCAACAAGCACTTACTGCAGAGCCGACAACAATGAACAGCCTGCAGCTTTTCCTGGACCAAGAGGAGGCACCGCAGTGTGGTTGCCAGAGCAGAACAGACATGTGTTCCAATCTGGTGCACCTCAGTAATTGTCTCAGAAATTTTGATCCCAATCAAGGCATGAATCAGTGTTGCGGCAGGGATGCCCGTGATTGTCAGACCTCCTTTGCAGTGAATGACTTTGTTGCTGATTGGAGGAGTGCCTGCGCCGCTGCCACTTGCGTGGGGGGCTATGGGATCATGATTGCTCTCTGCAATATGGTTGACAGCAATTATCATTCTTGCAATTTTGTGGCTGCCACCAATTTCCATTCAGAGTGGATTGCGCCACGTTTGCAAGATTGGCATTGGCCGTAACAGCTGGTGCAGCTGCTGCTGCGGCAGATGGGGCTGCTGAGAGGGCTGCGGCAGATGCCGTGGGAGCAGCAGCACTGTCAGCCGCTGCAACTGCACCCTGAAGGGCAAGGACAGGAGGTGCTTCCCCAATGCAGAGGTTGTTTGCAAAATATGTGCAAATGAAGCAATACTGCTGATGCAGGCAAGTTGCCCAGATGGGATGGAGGTTGGGTGTCAGAACATTGCAATCCGTGTACACCTGGAGCACTTCCTGGTAGTTTCCACGTTCCAAGTGCATGCAGATGACAGGACCCATATGAAGATGCACAAAGTTCATGTTGGTCTGAATTGTGCTCAGCTTCTCCACAATCTGGATGACCTGGTGGAAGTAGTCATAGAACTCAAGCAGGGTGTTGGGCACAGGAAGGCAGTCAAACTTGTGGTAGAGTTTCAGGTAGACTGCATCTGTCTGCCCATATTCCGTGAAGAGCACCTGGGTGACACTCAAATAATCCATGCTGATGTCCTGGTACGCAAACGCCCCAATGTTGTCTTTGGTGTTGCCGTCCAGGTGGAGCAGCAAACAACAAATATGCTCAGTATCTGTGAGTTTTGCAACCTGTATGATGTTCACCGGCAAAAAATTGTGCCAGAGCCTCTCAAACTGGTAATTCAAGGAGGCCTTGGCCAGTAAATTTGTTGAAGGAGGTGTCGTAAGCCTGCTTCTTGTACAACTTCACAAGGTAGTGATGCGCCAGTTGAGATGGTTGCCCTGTCCCAGAGACTGCAAGAGCGTGGTTATATGCCTTGTATGGCCACCCCTGCGGAAGCAGGAAAGACAACGGCCCAGAATCCAACTGATCATAGCTTGCCGGAGCCTGAGGATGCAACAGAGATGGCGCCATAGGACACATTGGAACCAATGGTCCAATTGCTAGCTGCAATGATGCAGACCACATTCTGCACAACGTGCTCAGGAGGTGCAGCAGAACAACTGGTACTGGTGCTACAATTGGTGATGGCCGGGGTGCTGCAGGTTGCGCAGCTGCGGGAGGAGCCACAGGAAAGGCAACTCCCATGAGGCATGGTTGCGTTGGGCAAAGATGTGCCCACCCTCCTGTCATGACATCCATGGATTGCATGAGAAGTGTGTTCACCTTGGTTGCCAGATGCATGAGGGAGGCAATCTCCAGCTGAGTAAAGGACAAAGCTGGCAAATCAATAAGATGCGCGGCAACATCAAAGAAAGAAGGAACAATGTCCTCAAAACGTTGCTGTGGATCTCCGCATTCTGGAGTCCTCAAAATATGGTCCACCGCGCCAACCTTGTTGGCAAGGCAGAGGACATGTTTTTTAATGGTGGGTTGTATTGCTGTAGTTGCCAAGGAGGGGCTACTTGATGCCGCAATGAAGCCAGCACCACAAGGCGCTGTCCTCTGGGACCTATAGGGTCAACTCCCAGAAGAGGCGCACATTGCATGCTGTGCAAGGACCAAGATCGTGCACTTTTGCAGCTACTGGTGCTTGATGGGCTATTGGAAATCCAATGCTTTTGCCCCAATGGGAGGGGTCTGAGCCTTTGCAGAGGCTGGCACATAGCACGCAGTCTACTGGAAATGGGTGGAGTACCCAGCACCTTGCTGTCCATTGTGCAGTACAATTCACACGGGAAATTGTGGTGAGTACTCACAAATTTTCTAACAGGGTGTTGAGCTAGAGGTGTAAAATGTAAGGCAGTTAGGCTGCAATTTCACACACACATGCAAAATCTAGCACCACAAAAAGGGACTTTCCCAAAATTGAATAGATGCCTAGGGTTCAACCTCTTGAAGGTAAACCCACTGGCCACCAATTTTGTTGGGCTGGTATTGACAAAGAATTGGAAGAATGAAGGTATGCAGTCACTCAGCCTTTATAATGGCCGGATCTAGTTGGGCACTAGGTTTGCCACATTGCAGTGAACCAGGTGCCAATCCGCTTCCGGGTCTGTGGGCTGCTACATGTGACGTAGGCGTGCCTGAGTGAGGATGCTACGCTTGGGTCATGCTGCGTGTATGCGACCCCACACTGTACCTAAACTATCCATGAGCATTTATTTCCAATTTTAAGCTTTGTTGAATCAAATTGGAAGTATTTGTTCATCTTACAAAATCATCTTGAGTTTAATAAACTCCTACCTCCTATTCTGCTGCTCTTTTTATTTCAGCCATGAAATCATTCCGTAAAATTTATTTTTTCACATACTGTATTTAAAAGAAACACATACAGCATTTTTGAAATGTGCCACAGCTTATAGATATTTGAAAAATTAGCATTAAATCTAACTATTCGAACACTTCTTGAAAATTCCTATGAAGATTATCAATGGAATTTTCAGTTTGCTGAAAGGGAATGATTAATTTCTGCAGTTTTACCTTTTTTGCCACTTCTAATGCCCATCCTTATGTTGCACATTTTAAATAATGGCCATCTCCAATAGGAGCCGGTCTTCAATGAACGCCGGGGGGGTCAGGACAGTTTTTTGAATAGACGCCAGGGGCGTCTATTCAAAGATATACAGTGTGTGTGTGCAGAATTTTCTGGCGGCCCTGCTTTGAAACAGGGCGCCAAGACAAGCAGAAAATGTAATTTAATTGGCGCATCCTGAGATGCGCCAAAAACAATCAAAAGAGAAGGAAAAGTCCCCAAAATAAAACAGGAGACAAATCCGCAGAACAAAGTCGCCAAGAAAAGAAAAGGAGGAGAACGACCCTGGGAACCGGGACAAAAAACAATTGCCAAAGTCGGGGCCCCTTGGGGACATTGATTCCTCCTTTCTTCAAAAACCGGGGTCATTTGACCCCTCAGAAGTGCAAAAAACTTCGCCAGCTGCTGGTGATGGCACCAAACTTTATCTATACTCTTTCCATCAAAACAATTTATCTTAAATGCTCAAAATTTTTTTGAGCTGTCAACAGTCACTAAAGTACCTCAGTAAAACCAATTGCTTTAACAAGTTATTTCCCTGTACAAATAATTTAGAAAAGTCCGTTGAACACCTGGATATTGGGAAAACATGAACTCAAAAATTTTCTCTGCAAAACAGCAGATGCCACCACCTGGTGTTTTCAAAATATGCAACTGAGAAAAAAGCCCACCAAAACTGGTGCAAAAATCCTGTATAAACTACCAAAATTTGGTTAACACATACAGTCATTCTTTATAGAGGTCAACCTGCTGAAATTTTGTGGAAAAACTTTGCAGACTCTGCCAAAAACCTGGGAATTCGGCATTGAAATATAACTTGAGAAAATGACATTCACGTTTCTAGCGTTTAATATTCTTGACAAATTGGGAAAATGTTGTTGAAATTGTTTGAGTGAATTGAAAGAAGTTTAAATCCACTTCTGGACTACTTGAGCTTATCTATTGTCGTATTTAAGAAGAAGGATTGTGTCGTACATTTTTATTTTTGGGAAGAAGTTGTGTATGTGTGTGATTGTACTTGTACAATTTTGTATGTTGTGATACTTTTTGTGGCTCAAAAGAATGGTCAGCGCTAGTGGGGAGAAATCCCCAGTTGGTTTGCGCACCGTCCAATTGACGTGTTTCAATTCCATTAATTGAAACTTTTGATATTTATTAAAACTCTGCTGTAAATTCTCTTGTATATCAAGGTTTAATGCTTGATAAATTTATTCTAAGTTTAAATCCTTACAAGGTGATGAAAGTCAAATTCTTGTGAGTAAGCTTCGAGCAAATGTGGTCTGGTTCATGGGAAAGTATGGCAAGTGATCCTAACATTTAATATTGCTCTTATTTTAAGGATCGGAATACCTCAGGCCAGTTATATGTGAAATGGAATCAGTGTATGTGAAAGAAGAGGCAAGGTTGGAACCCCAGCATGAAGTCACCCATCCTCCATCTCTTGTGACTGATACTAAGGAATGCACTGTTCCACGTAATGTATTTTAAAGTCACATGTATGAGGTTTTTCCACATTAGAGGTGACCCAGGGTATTTCTTAAGTAAATATGACTGCAAACATTTTTTAAAGTTATGCTATGAAATTGTGAGCTTTTGGTTTCTTTTCAGGATTAAAAAAAAATTTCCTTCATGATGATATAAGTGAACACTTTCCAGATCTTGCCAAAGTTCTCCACCCATGTCACAGGGTGGTTAAAATTTTTTGTTTCTTCTGAAACATTAAAAAATTGGAATTTTCTTGTATTTTTTAACCATCATCTTCAGTATTTATTGTGAAATCCATTATTATTTATTCACAACAAAAATGAAAAAAATGGAAATAAATCCTGGTGAATAAAATCCAGTCAAATGTCATGTCTTTTGAGTTATATGTCTTCTATATTTGTCATGAAAAAAAATAATCTTTGATGACATTTGAAAATGTCACAAGATCTAGTAAAGAAAATGATTAAAACTACCAAAGGTTTCAATTTCTCTGCTGAGCTGACAAATTTTTAGTACTCTGTGACATAAATGGAGAACTTTGGGAGAAACTAGAAAGTTTTCCATGCAGTAAATTGACATTTGTATCTGAAAATTTTCCAGGATCTTATAGCATTATATGGAAAATTTAAAAAAATTTACACAGAGACTTGCTCTAGAAATAGCCATGGCCATCTCCTATTTAATATTGGTACAACCCTCCCATGTACCCAACTTTCATAGTAAAGTACTCAGTACTTACCTACAATGTTCATACTCAACATTCAGTGCCATTGCATTTCAAGATGAATAACAGAATGATTGTCCAAATGTTGATAGGTCTGCAAGATGTGGAAGTGCAAACTTTGTGGAGTGGGCCTGCAACTGCAGAAGTTTTTGCTGCTCCTGAAGCCAATGTGCTGTCAAACACTAAAAAAGGTAATTTCTTGATATTTGATTCAAATGTTATACTGTACTCCTTCTTTGGCATTGTTCCTGTATACTGTATGTGATGCAGCTTCTTTTGCATCTCACACAGTTTGATCACAGGTTTGCACATAGCTGTTGGTGCAAATCATGTTCAATTCAAACCATCTGTGTGAAGCTCAGTGTGCATGCAGCTGCGTTGCAGTGGTATTCATATTACTTAGTCTTCCTTTTTTTCTTCACAGTTGCTGGCAAAACCCCAAATTGCATAGCATACAGTGCAATATTGGAGTTGGCAACTTTCATGCGTACCCATCGTGCTCATGAATGTGATCTAAGACTGATGTGTTCTGAGGTTTTTGAAACAAAAGAAGCTGTTCAGCATAGGCAATGTCTCCGCTGCAAGCTTACCCTGCAATTGTGCAACGAGATAATTTGTGAACGTTCATACGACGAACAGTTGTCAAATTGTGCACAGGGTGTCAGAGCATCTATTGAAGAACATTTATCATCACAAGTATTGGTGTTAGACAAATATACGCATAAGGATCTGCATTAACCATTTCATCAATTTCTCAGATGCGTGAGGAAGAGCTGGATGTTACATTTATGTCATCAAATCCCAGCAGAGAGGCTGTTCACAAAAGCCACATGCATGAAACCCCATGGGAAACGGGTGATGAAGAAAGTGAGGTTGTAGTTCAAGAAAACTATGATGAATGTGCTTCACCAACCCAAGTAAGTACAGTCAACCCCTGTCTAACGGACTTGATTTGTGCAAAGGACGAGTCTGTTAGACAAAAAGTCCTTTACACAAATTTTTGCAGAGCTGGTCTGTTTGGCAAAAATCCCTTACACGGGAGGTCTCTTAGGCGGGGGGCCACTGTATATATACAGCATCATGCATTACATCAGCACCTGTAATGCTAAATGAGTTTTCTCTTTGTGAGGTTACATCAACAGATTTTGAGGAACCTCTCCCAGCTGTGGAAACATCCTCCAGGAGAGAGAAGAAGAAAACAAGCAAGTCCAAGTCCAACACATGCAAAAAAATCAGCCACACAGAGGAAAAGGCTCTGTACTCATTGAAGGCAAAGGAAAGGCAGTCATCACCTCGAAGAAAGGGTGGAAATGTGGAGCAGGTTCAACCATCAACAAGTGCATCATTGCCTACACAATCAACAATACAGGTTGGTTATGAACAAAATGTAATGCTCATTTCATCTTGTATTACTGCATTTCAGACATACATAAATATTAATACATTTTTAATGAATGAGCAGGAAGGAATTGAGTCACAAGGGATCCTCACAAGCAAAGGGACAAAGAGATGCCTGCTGGAGAAGCATCCTTGTCCCAGCACTTCTAAGAAACATGTATCAACAGTTGGGCATGCTATAAATTGTCTTGACGAGGTTTCATGTTTCTACAACCAATTTGCTCTCCATGATGATCAAGGTATTCTTAGTATTTTTCTGTACAGTAGTTATGTTTCATACGGCAGTACTTCTCTAAATTTATGGACATGCATTATCCTTCTATAGGAAATATACCTGAGGATGAGCCACCTACATGCAAGTTGAATGATTCAAAAAAGTCCGTTGTGGAATTTGCAAGATTTACTCTCTGGTCATTGAAGGGGCAAAGATCAATTTTCTGTTTGCTTTTAGGAAAAAACCCAGACTATGATGGTGAGCATTCAATATGCAAATGCCATCATGTGATTCATGGTGTAATAGTTTATGTTTCATAGTATACTGACTTTTTCTTCATATGCAGGGCCTAAGAATGATTGGCGTGAGAAACTCTGCACCTTCACATTTGACCATGGCTTCACTCAAATAGGACCTTATGATCATGCATGCAGAAACAAAGATCCATTGTGGAATGTTCAAAAACGGTGTGTTCCAGGTGCTTTTGCTTCTGGGGCATTCAAGTTCCCAAAGTTGTATCAGGGCTCATTATGTATGAGCAACATTGCAACAGATGAGAGAGTACTCATTCCTTTGGGTCCTGTGAGTATTTTACAATTACCCACACTCCAAAAATGTGCAATTTATCTTCATCATTGTCACTTTTGTGTTCTGCACAGGATTCGGAGATGACACAGTGTGTGCTTGTTGGGAAGAGTCAAATGACACTATCATCACCTGGGACTGTGTATGTCCTTTTCCTGAGGTGTGATGACCTTGAGGACCTCATATCTGCCATTTCTGGATACTGTTCTTTTGCCCTTCAGCATGGATTTCCAGAATGGTGTGGGCTGAGAGAAAAACCAGTGAAAATGGTTGGTAGAACTTTGAATTTTTTACATTTGCAAGAAATATGTTAGCATTTAATTTATATTTCTTACTTATTTTCATGTAGGTCGCACATGGTCGTGGCATTTACTTCAACTTGCTGGTTCGAGCTTTTTACCCGTTCAATTCCTCTGGAGGAATCTTGAATTTTGGTCATAAAACACTGCGGTATTCAGATGTCAGTGATTTCATCCAATTCAGGCATAATTGCCTCTTTGGACAAACAAGGAAATCATCAAGTGAAGGTAATGTTTGTTTATATTTTGTAATGTACTGCTCAACACATGGTGCTCATATGCCTGTTGGAAATCTTGAATTTTCCCCCAGGAAATACCGCATTTCTACCAAGCCTGTTCCACAACATTCTCAAAAGAAGTGCAGATAACTTGATTGCAGACCCAAAAAATAAGGAGGAAGCTGTTCTGGCTTTACTAAGAGATGACCCATCATTCTCCACTGATCCTGGAGTTCTCCTACAATTACTGCGAAATTGGGTAGTAATTTATCCCAAAATATGTTTCATTATGAGCATATACACCATGACTTTGTTTTGCTTCCTCAGGTGAAGAATGCTTACCGCATACACATCAAAACTGTCATTGCGCGTTACATGAATCAGTTGAACTGTGTGGACACTGCTGTATTCAAAAATTACACTGACTGGTACAACTCTGTTTACGCCCGACGAAGTATTAAATGGAGGAACACATTCAACAAACGTGGTTCATTTGAGTGTGTTGCTAATGGAAAAGGTTAAGAGGAATTATGAATGTTTGATGAGTTATTCATGAATGAATGTTTTATAAGTGAATGTGTGGTGACTGTTTTATATGCACATGTTTTATAAGTGAATGTGATGACTCATATGTGTGCATCAAGAAATGTATGGCATGCTGGATTGCATAGCAAATTGCTCACAGTTACTCACCCAACAAATTAACTTACCCCATACCACAAAATACCCTATACCCCCAAAAATTCCCTAACCTACAACATGCTGTACCCTACAGTACAACCTACCCAGACAGTTCAACTCAATTTTAAAAATGTTTTCAATAAATTTAATTGCTGTCATTTTTTCAGAGTTACTACAAATTAAAGTTGTGTATTGTAAGAAGTGTAATTGGTGACCTGAACAATGAAAAACTTCAGTTCAATACTTTGAAAATGTCCCTGTTTTTCAGTGTAATTCAATTTCTTTATTTTTTCCAATAATGTGATTAATTTCAACTTTGAGAACATGGTGTGCTGTGAACTTTGGCTCATTTCTATGCTTTTCATTACAAGTGTTTTACAGGAGGACTCTACAAAAATTCCTGGGGACAAGAAAAAACATCACAGATAATTTTGCTGTATAGACAATGCCTATAGGAATATAACATTTATCATGCTATAGGCTATAAAAATATTACTGTGTTGCCTATGTTGCATTGAAAAATGCCTGCTGATTCAGCATAAGTCGATGTAAGTATCACCACCAACCTGGAATAAAATATTTCAAATTTAAAACAAGAAATTCGCAAAACAGACAAATTATGAAGTCCAATGCAAACATTGTACCAAATGAAGGAATGAAAGTACTCAGCAGGTATCAATATAATGTCATGATTAACACATTACCTGCCATGGGCCCCATTTGGGACTCAGCTACTTTTAGTCTTGCAGAGAAATACTGCAAATGTAAAAATTATATAAAAATATGCCAAAGCTCGAAAATGAAGTTATCTACCATTCAAGACCTCATTTGTCTATTTATGTCCATTTTTACATCCAAAGCCACATTTTTTTCTGAAGCCAACTCACAAATTCCATTGGAGTGTTAAAATATGATGTTTGAAATTCAAGAAAAGTACTTTCTAATGCAGCTAAATTCAAAATTTTTTATGTCTTTGTAGCCTGGTTAGTTCTGAATGCTTTGGCATATTTTATTTCATTTTATGAAATTTTGATCAATCACAACAAGTGCAAGAACCTTGATCCCCAAATGGGGCTCATGGCAGTTGGGGTGTAAAAAAAATTATTTTGGAAATTTCTTGAAAATGTGTTCAAACATTTTCTTATGTTGAATAAACCTATCTGCTGGGTTGAGCATTAAAAAGTGATTATAAAAACATGTGAAACAATTTTTTAAAGAATTAAAATCATTTATTTGTTTCTCTGGTTGTAAAATAGACAATTTTTTTAAATTTGTGAAGATGCCCCTAAGCTTTTAAACTTCATCCAACAGCTGGAAAATATTAAAAAAAATTCCATGTTCTTTAGGGACATAAGGTATGCATTTAATGTATATCATACATATGTCTGGTTTGAACTGTTAGAAACAATTTTGAATGTCCATAGGAAGGGCAGCATTGAGAATGAATGCAAATAAATATAATATAACAACCCTTCAATAGCAAATTTAATTTAGACAATTTCAGATTGATTATACTCAACTTTTATAATCAGAGTAATGAAAGGAGAACCTTCAGTAAAGCCATAAGGTTTATTAAAATGAATATTAATTATAGTTGTTGATAGTACTTCTCCCACTACACTATTTATACCTATTCAAACAGGCCTTCTGAAGTCTGTCATAATTTTTCTTCAAATAAGAGAGAGTGATGGGTTCAGGGAGTGAGGCAGGGGGAAGGGGGAGCAGGGTGAATTCCACAGCTCACATGTGCTCTGGCAAGAAGTCTGTCCACCAAAGACCAGTGCCAGTACACTCAGAAAATTTTGCCTTGTCTGCAGGAAATTGTTGTATTCAGCAAAACAAATTTATCAAAATCAATGAAGAAATATTTTGTCTTTATCTAAAATTTGGAAAGACAATGGCACTTGAAATTATTGGATGAAAAAAAGTTGGCTTTTCTTTGAATAATGCTTTGGAGAAATCTTCACCTGCTGGAAAAAATTATTTTATTTTTCATTCTCAGAAACCTTTCTTCAAGACATTCCACTGTATAGCTGCTTCAATGGTTCTTGAATTAAATTTTGCAAAAAACCTTTTGCTTGGCTGACTTTATGGCAGGTGTTCAAAAAATTCTGCAGTTCTGGAAAATTTGTATGGAATATTTGTGGTCTTCAAAAATATTTTGTGGAAATTTGTTGATTCTGCATGGAGCCCAAAAAGGTTACTTGCCAGGACGCTTCTCCATATGCCAGTAAAGTATTCCTGCTATGATCTGCAGGTGCATGGTTGGAACATTGAAAACGTCATATCGTACTCGATGATTGAGAGAAAACATGTCTGCCGTCCACGATTTCCACCGCCACTTTTCTTTTATCAGCCATTTCCTAACGTCCCGGACGCGGGAGCCGGCGACGGCGAATTCAAGCGCGAAGGTTAGTCGCGAACTGCGTATGGAAGCCGCGGTGTGAGGTTTCTCTCGTGAATTTTAACGTCCGTGAATTCTTACTGTGAAATCTTCACTGAAGGCTTAAGTGATATTGAACGTGAGCTGCTGTGTGGATCGACGGAGGACGTTTTTCACCAATTTTCCCCACCGCCCCCTTCTCGAGTCTTATCTGTATTCTCTTGCTTTTGTTACTGACGAATTCTTGGAAGACCGCTCGTTCCGAACCTGTCAAAAGAATGCAATATTCAAGTCGTTATGATTATTTCGCTTGGAGAACTTGTTACCCGGTTCAACCGCGGATCATCCAGGCTTCACTGTTACCCGGTTCAACCGCGGATCATCCAGGCTTCACTCCGCGAAAAATGGTTGAAACGAATCATCGTAAGTTATTAGTAGCACGGCATGTTGAAATGCGCTCACGGCAGGAGACAACGATTGTAGTCGCCGGAATTCTGCGATTCCAGTTTATTTTGTTCAGGCCGTTTGTTCAAGTAACTTGAATCCATAATTCGAGATGACCTGTTCGTGAGCTACTGCGGAATTCCGTATTCTTCTTATCTGGATGGTTCCTGAGCCTGTTCCGATCCAAATTATCATCGAACTGGTTTGGGCTTATAGTTGGATCGTGTGGGTAAACGCTACTTCGTGGCGAACTCCATGAAAAGTCGTAATGATCATTACTCTTCGGAGGACGGCTTATCTTCTTGGGGATGCATTCGAATTTCGAAGTCAACCTCGAAGTGATTAGTATCCGCTACATGAGCGAAGATGCAAAGGTTTTTAACGCCACTTTTCCCTTTCTTATCGACAGGTCGATTTTTGAATTTTCGTGCGAGTAATTTTTGAGAAATTCGCAAGAGTCATGTCGGACACCGAAGTGCAAGAAGCTCCGAAGAAGCGCGGTCGCAAGCCTGCTGCACCGAAGGCCGAAAAGGTGAGAACCATCTTCGCAAGAATTTTTTCCGGTAAAACGTCAAGCTGTGTCCTACTGTATTTCCGATCGCACGTTGATGAAAATTCATCAAGAGTTTTTCTACGAATTGAAGCAATTATTCTTAATTCTTGACGTTTTTCGCGATCGAACGAATTTTTCCATCTCCTGGTCCAGTACGTTAAGCATGTAGAATGCCGATCTTGACACAGATGTCTTCTTCGAACTCCATATCGCCTTTACTAAATTTAAATACTGCACATCGAATTTTGGCTTCAACGGGGAATACTGGAGAGGGGTTTTGTCAATGTTTCGAGCCGGTTCTTGTGTTTGAGCCACCCGTGATTTCTAATTGATTGATGTCACTTCAGCTTCTGTTAAATTCACTTCCCTTGTAATTTATTTGTCAATGTTTCCGACCAATCCGACGTAACTTTTCATTTTACACTTTCCGAAAACTGTAGTTATTGAAGTGGTGTGATGCCCAGCGCAAGGCTAGAAAACTATTTCGCAGCAGATTATATTTAGTTCCGTTTACCACCTGCTTAAGAAGTGTCGCACTTCAGCTTTAAGTAGTTTAACAAGTGAATTGCATATTACAGTAGTTTTGCACCTTTCATGGATTATTTCCCTTTCGTCATGTGCGTGTTAGCCAGCGAAGAAGCGTCCTGCCGAAGATTCGGACGAGGACGAAGAGGATCACAAGGAGGACTCTCCTGAAGCCGAAGAACCAAAGGTGAAGCGCGGACGTGGTCGACCGAAGGCAGGTACTGGTGGTGCTGCTGCCAAAAAGGTGAGTTTCCTGGCGAATTTCTTCGTGGGCTTCTTGTATAACGGGCGTTATAATTTAATCCCCAGCCGAAAGCGGCCGGAGGGTCTGGACGTGGTCGCGGACGCCCGAAGAAGAACGCGTCGTAAATCGGCAAGTGGTTAAATTTTCACCAAAAAAAGAAGAAAAAAAAGACGCTGCGAGAGTCTCAAAAAGCAATGCGAGATCGCCGCCTTTTCAACCCTAAATCCCCCCTCCCTACTTCGCACCTTCCGTGAGCAGATGAAAATACCCCAGAATCTTTATCCGCTGATCTCAGGCACGTCATTTTCAATAAGCGTTATTTGTGGCTGCGGTTGAGTGAGCGGGTGATTTCTCGAGACGACAGGCCGAAGTACAAGATTTCTCTTCTTAGTTTTACTTGGCACTGCTTCGCGTAGGAACTATTCTTTTGACTGACTGACGGGGACGATTGTATGTCTGTGAGTGTGTAAAAGCTCGGGTGTTGTGAATGTTTTTTTGTTTTGTACGTAAAGACGAGGTAGTCGATTTCATGGTAACCAGTTTTTCTTAGCCGTGTTTTTTGTATGGCTCCTGTGCCGGAAAAAATGGCCTTTTCATTTCATGGCAGTGTTTTTACTTGAATAAAACTTCTCTCCGTACTTGCATCATATCAATCAGTTATTCAATTTTCCCTTGTCTAATAGCGAGATACAATATTCACTGTGCCGCTGCCAAAAGATGGCACAAGTTTCATTTCACAACTCCGTGCATTTTTAGGGTGGATGCGGATCCCAAGTGACAACCACTTCGGCATCGAAAAAATATTCCTCAGTGTTCACTGATCATATAGGCCTGTAGGGTGATCGCCGAATTGTTAGTGACAAATAGTGAACATGGTGCAACGAAAGTGAGATGTTGAATTAACTTCACGTGAATGCAATGGATCAAAAACAAGCTAGCGTAATCGGTCAGGTCACGGAAACTTCATGTAATTCCTCGATTCAGGTTTGTAACTTGTGTTGAAGGATGGTAGAGTACAGTATACTGTATGGGAATTCGGGAAATTATTTTATCAATTTCTTGAAGCGAGACTATTATACTGTACAGTAATTCAGTTCATTAGGAAATGTCGAACAACCCTCTATTTTGCGAGAAGTGTTGACCATTTTACTCAAGGATGTTCTTGCATCATTGGTGGATTGCACAGGTGTGTGTGTCGAAAAACCTTTCATTCAAGAAAGTATACGCTAAAATTTAACTTGAAAATTATTTGTGAAACGGAGAATCCGGGTTCACTTCAATCCCAGAAGTGAACTGCATTGAATTCCATTACTCATGGTTGATAGATATCCTGTGTTTTTATCCTGGTCATAAGTGGTCAATATAATTGGATTTAAGTTATTGTACAATATTCGTTTCTTCCTTTGAGCTTAATTTTTTTCTGTGTTTCTACTGAGTGAAAATCGAGCATTGGACCTGTTTAACATGGCCTAGAATAAAAATTAAATATGACAGGAAGACTCATCTCTTGCCGCGTGAAATACGCAGTGAACTGTAAAATTCTTTTTAATGCGGAAGTCAAGTTTCGAGAGAACTCGTTAGTTTTAATTGTTTTCTGCAATTTTCAACTTTCAGCTACTGTACTCTATCCGCATCTGGAGATTCGATTGTTGAATTGAAATTTTTTTGACGATGTGAATGAGATCCAGACGCGTATTGATTCTCCTGCTAAAAACGGAACTTCTTGGTTAAGCTGGAAGTTCGTTCCTGTGTACACTAGTTCGGATAATGTGTGAATATGCGTACTGTATACTGATATCCAAACCTCTCCGTTCACTCATGATCGTCGAAGCTTCGCCGTGATCTCTCTTTTCGATTGAAATATTCAGTTATGCATTCATCCAAGTCGTATATCAATAATAGTTACTATGCTGCATGATGAAATGTGTGCGTAACGAGATTCCTGTAGTGGTGAGGAACACAACACCCGACATTTCTTGACGCAGGAATGACACCCAAGCCCATGACAATCTGTATATATTAACTTGTTTACGTAAGAGCAGATATGTAAACAAAAATCGTCGGTTTAGCCTTTTGTGATGTGCACAAAAATTGCAATGCTTAATTCCCGTGTATCATCGTAAAGAACCGGGAACTCGCGCGTTCGTTCAAGGTGAGCTTCATTTTAAAACCAGTTCATGAGGCGCTGCATTCGCAGCTTTTAGATTCGATTTCTCTATGGGTACAGTATTGCTGCTTTTTCGTGAATGAGGTCTTGCATTGCCTGTGCTGTGGAGAAGTGGGATTCCGTGAGCGGGAGTGCCTCCGTAGTTCAGTTCGAGAATGTTCTGGACAATGCAGGCGCACGGCGAACATCTCAACTGCGTCGCGTCGTCGTGGAATGAAAAAAATATATATATAGCGGGGGAAACGCGTTTTTCAACATGGCAGTTTTATTAGTGAAGACTCGTTATGTGATCGCCACGATTTTGACGACCAATTGGATAATTCTGGTTAATTTTTTTTCATCAGAATGATGATTATAACCCCTTATTTTTCTACCTTATTGAACCGCTGCGGTTTTAGGCATGCGCAAGTGAAAGTTCGCGTTTTGGCTAGACGTATATTCCAAGTTACTCCGCCAGTTGCTGTGACTGAATCTGTTTCGAGATGTTTCGTTTTCAAGTCGTTCCTTTCTTGAGCTTGAAAATGATGAACGGAAAAAATTTCATTTTGGTGATTCCTGCCTGTTGAATTTTCCCGAACTGTCGAATTTCAAGAATGTTCCGCCGTCTCTTGATAGTGTTGTCTTCGTTGGTCATCGTGATTTTTCTTCTGCGCGCCTTGATCGAATCATTCGACGTAGTTTTCTTGCTATTTTGTGAAATATTTTGACCAATTGTGAAAGATGGCGGCAATGGAAAATACCATTTGTTTTATTGAATAACGGACTGCGAATGCCGATTTTGGGCATGGACACATGGAAGACGAGGATGACGTGAAATTTGTTCCGAGGATCTTGATGATACAGGTGACGAAAGATGCGATCGATCTCGGGTATCGTCACGTCGACATTGCAGAGGCCTACGAGAATGGAAAGGGCGTCGGAACTGCACGGCGTTCCAGAAAAAAGTAGAAAAGGAAGGAACCTTGAACTCGAGGACATCGTTTTCCTCACCAAGGTGAGGTTTGCTCCGATGCTGTGTTGAATAATTCATTTTAATTCTGATTGCATGGGATTCAAGCATAGAAAAGTTTTTTGTTCTTGGTGTATTTGCTCAAATGTGAGACGCGTATCTTCGTTTCAGGAATGAGAAACTGAGAAGTACTGTACTTCGAGTATAAAAACGGTATTTACTCGGAATCTCTCAAGATTTGTCATACTTCGGTTAGCTTTATCTCATCAATTTTGAAATGAACCTGGTTTCCAATTCTTGTACCATTGAACTGAAAATGATAAGATTCGTTTGATGGAATTTTTGATCTTGTTTTTTAAAACCTGTTTTTGGAATTCTGGTCAGAAGCAAAAGCATTGCCTTGACTTGTTATTCGGAGAAGCTGTTCATTTGAAGCATTTTTAACCTTTGTTTTAAAAACCGATCTGCGCGCGTGAAAAAAATCTCTTACACTCGAAGAAATCGGTGTTTTGATGAAGCATCGACATCCTTGCTTTTACACTTGACCCAGAATTTAGAGTGAATCAATTCGGTTGAACGTTAGTTTTCCTGCGTCTTTATACTTTATTCTTAAATGCTAACCGGGTCTTCTTTTTAGCGACAGTTCGTGAAAATTTTGTTGTACTCGACTTAAACAGTCGTGATCGAAGTGTTCGAATTTTCGTGTATCTCACCTTCAAGTCGTGGAACAAAAGTCACAGCTTTAAAAAAATGATGCGTGATCTGTGAGAAGCGTAGAACTAGATAACGTTGGTGTTGACTCGATTTATTGGCGGGGGCCTTGGAAGTTTGTAAATATTTTATTTTCTCGAATTATTGATGAACTCTTGCTGAATAATTCCTACTTTCTACTTTACAGAATTTATCTTTATTTTCAAAAATCTTCAACATTAAATCAATGATTTTTTGTTTCTGGCTTATACTATTTATTCATGAAACAGTAAGTGAGCATAGAGAAATTGTAAGCGTGATGTCCAATTATTGTCAACTATTACGTAAGATGAAATCGAAGAAGAAAGAACATGTAACCACTTGACAATGTGGTGAAGAAAATTATTTTACTTGAGTATCATAGAAGTATTTTACGTGTAGTGTAAAGAAATTCCTGAGTTTCAAAATATGCAGAAATTCTTGAATCCCTCAACAACTGCACAAAGATACAGTACTTTGCTGTACTGGGAATAAAACGCTTGAAGTCACTCATGAATAGTATTGAAGGAGGTGTGTTCTTATGAAAGGAGTGACCCACAACCCAGCAGCCTCTTTGAGAAGTGGGACCGAAGAAAGTGGATGTGTATGAAAGTTGGGTTGAAGCGTACAGTACCAGCGCCCGTCTACACCGGTACCTGTAGGGTGTGTTTTTTTATTGATGCTCGTGAAAGTGTGAATGGTAACTCATAACCAGTTGAAATTGATCCTTGACTAGGTCAATCGGAATTTAATCAAGTTCTGCCAGGTGAATTGTACAGTGTTACTTTTACGTCGCGCAGTAATTTGGGAGCTCCCGATGGGCCTGAGGCGCAGGAAGATGACTTACCATTGCTGCTGGGTGCGATGACATTAATTATATTGCTGAAGACTACAAAAAGTCCCCTAGTAAGGTCCCTGAAGAGTATCGAGTTAGAGGGCTCGTTTTGGGTTCGCAAAAATATTTTCTCTGTAATTTTGCGAGTTCGATTCCATTGTGGGCATTTTCTTACCGGCAGTTGACTACGCATCCTCTAATCAATGTAATTTTCCTCTTTGGTTTCTGCATCGTCGAAGTTGCATTGCTTTCGTCGCATTGATTATGATTGTGCTTATCCATTTCAGTGGAAGTTTCGATCTAATTCGTTCGCCACTTGTATTGGAATCACGCCACTATTCCAATACAAGTCTCCGATGACTGTATGGCGAAGAGCTCGTACCCGTCTTGGAGGTGACGGTGTAGCGAATCGAAGAATTGAATTCAAAGAACGAAGTGACGGGATATATCTTGGTGTTCTTTGGTGAGAAATTCGCTGATAATTTAATTTGCCTTCATGTAAGTTGTCTGTACAATTTTGCAGGTTTCGCAAACTCCCAGACTCCACCCGTTCTTCGATGCCATGGAATCCCAAGAAATCGTTGTGAATTTTCAACTATCCGAAATCTTGTTATTGGAGGATGTTCGAGTTGTGATTTTCGCTTTGCTATGCACGATGTGTGTAACGTTAGCTGCGTAAGTCCTCTGAACCGGAGGACTTTAATGGCGTACGGTATTATTGTTTCTTGTGTCGAATCTTGAGGTCAATGCTGTGTAGTGATCTTAACTTGGGCGAAGATACTGGGGAGGAGCCCTTCGAATTACTTCTTGAATGTCCGTAATTGACGATCTCGGCATTTAGTATTGTTCCGGAAGAAATGGGATTGTTAATGTTCTTGATTGTGATTTGTATTTTTGGTACCGAACGTGAATGCGAGGCGCCATCGATTCTTTAATTAGGCGTGATACTTTCCGGCCTTTCAAAGTAAGAAAAAACTCGAGTCAAACTGGCGTTCAGTTGGACTAAGGTGTTCATTGAGTGGATTCATGGGATGTGAGTTGGAAAATAATTTCGGATGACCCATTGCATGTTGCATGCAAATCTAAGGTGCCATAAAAGCTGAACTGATCTCGATTATTTTCTTTTTCGGTTCGGAAGCCTGCCAAGAACGTTTTGTGATTGGCGTGAATGGTCTTCTTTCAGTGTTGGCGATTCTCAGTTTCTCATTCGTGTTTCCTTGTTACTTCTTCGCCAGAGTACTGTTCGAATCCGACGCGTGTTTCCGAAAATGCCCGGTGCTCCGATTGTGACTCTATCGAATGGCCAAAAGGTGCCGTCTGTTGGCCTAGGTACGTGGAAAAGCAAGCCTGGGGTTGTAGAACAAGCTGTGAAAGATGCGATCGATGTCGGATATCGCCACATCGATACGGCTTTTGTGTACGAGAATGAGAAGTCCGTTGGTGAGGCGATCGCTGCCAAAATTGCCGATGGAACTGTGAAACGAGAGGATCTGTATGTCGTCACGAAGGTGAGCGAGACGGTCTGAATATTTAGCGACTACGCGAAAAGCGTGGGAATCATTCTCGGTCTGCGAAGAAAACGATGAATGTTGAATTATTCTATACCTGTATTTACCTGAGTACCACGCACCATCAATTGATGCGCACCCGAATTATTCAGCCTCGAATATAGATAAGAACGTATCCTTGATTACGACATGCTCGCCAATTTAGACCCTGGAAATTGGAATATTTTGAAATTGATAGGCTTCAGAATTTAAATTTTGTCGAGTTGTCATCAAATTGAGTGCCAATTTTCCATCATTTCCATTTTTTCTGTTCACATTGGTCGAAAATTATGACGCTCAACAAAATGTTCAAAATTTTAGATATACAGTAGTATACCTGCTTATCAGGCGCACCCGGTTTTCCTTCTGATTTCGAAGAAGGTGCGCATGTCAATGAAGTACAGTAAATACGATAATTATCTCACTGTTGCCAGAATCTTGGCAGACGGTCCACCTCTCGAGGTGGAATGTATTCTGTGAAGCAGTGCGATAATTATTTCAAGGATTGCCGGAACATTTCTCTCCATTCTAGTGCATTGAAATACGCTGCCATACTGTATGTTTTTTATGTTCCAATAATTACTGCCTTATTCCGCGACAGTTTATCATAACTGGTTTACTTCATGCCTTTTTTGACGCGTGCATGTTCAAATCCGACGTGATGCTATGGAATCGAGGCAATTAATTTTTATTAATCTTCGGTTGTTTTCCAGCTCTGGAATACATTCCACAATCCGGCGGATGTGGAGAAAGCAGCTCAAACATCACTGGAGAGTCTCGGATTGGATTACGTCGATTTGTATCATATCCACTGGCCTGTGTGCTACAAGGTGGGTACCGTATTTCTTGTAACTTGTATTTTGACTGACCGCAGTTCGCTTTATTCGCAGAATGTTGACGGGGAATTGTTTCCGAAGGACGAGAGTGGGAAGGTTATCTATTCCGAGGATGATTATTTGGATACCTACAAAGCTGTAGAATCCTTGGTGGAAAAGGGTCTGGTAAAGGCCATCGGACTGTCGAATTTCAACTCGAAACAAATACAGCGGATCTTGGACAGTTGTTCCATAAAACCAGCTATGTTGCAGGTAAACGGACGCAATGACATATACTGTAGTACTGTATTTGGTTCTTTCCGATAACTTCTTCAACGATGGACAGATGTCGTCCCAATCTCGAACATGCCATATCTCAGGGAAGCAGTACGGTCAGACCTTTCTAACTGGAATCTCCGGAAGTCGAAAACCTCTTTAACTCCATTTGGTGTAGTCCTTTTAAAATAACTTAACCTGAACATCCTCAACTCTAAATATTCTAACTGTGAACTTCCCTAACTCAAAATTTGTGACAATAAGGAACGACATGAAATTCAGGTTGTGATGTTTTTGGAAAGAATATGAACAACTTGGATTGATCCGTACAACCCTGTCTTGCGGTTCTGCATTCTGTGAAGACTCGTTCATTCTCCAGTTTTCTCTAGTTTGCCTTTTATGTAGTGGGAATCTTCTTAGACATGCTTACACGCAGTTGCAGCAAACATTCAGCCCAAATCACTTTTGAAATGCACCGCAACAATTCTCAGACCTAGTTTCCCAAACCTTTATAACTCAAAACTTCTCTCATATGATTTTTTTCTGTTGGGCCCTGTCATATTTGATAAGAGACGTCTGATCGTACCAAAACTAATTAAAATTGAACTTGTGTCCAAAACGGCAGAATGCGAGCAACACCTACATAGTGACAAAGAAACATGCGCGACTATGTGCAATACGTTGGATATAGATTAAAAATGAATAATTTTCTATGGAAGGAGACTGGAACGCGAAAGCGTACCCGTGAAGTTATTACCCACTTTTGAGGTGTATTGACTTGTATCAACATGTATTACACCTACCAAAGTTGGATGCATTTTTTGTTTCTCTGTGCGCAGTAATCGATTTTTTTTTTACTTCGAATATCCGCCGCAAATTTAATGATGTAGAGATAGAACTTCTGAAGCTCTTATCGTTGCATTAGTTGAAATAAACTGTATATAAAGTATAGTCAACCGTTGAATTAGTACCCCCCTCCCCCCTGCTGCATAGTGCCACAAATCTCCCTTGAACAAGTCTCCCTCCATTGTGTTTTTAAAGGAAACGCGGATTTAATGCCAACTCAGATAGTGCTACAAAACATTTCCTTTATTGAATGAAAAATGGGCCAAAATTAGAGAAATAAGGCACATTTTGAGGGGTATCATAAGGTAATTAGTGTTAATCACATGCCCATGCTCAGGATAATTTGAAAAGCCATTTCTGAATTCGAAATGCCATTGGGTGGTTTTATGTTAATTTCTTCCATGGCAAAAAGCATCTCAAAAAATGGAGTAATTTCTTTAAAAATAAATTAAAAAACACGCCACCTGACTTCGGAAATGTGTACCTCCATTGAAAGGTTGATACAGAACTACAAGAAACAGATCCATTCTTTTGCTTGACCCAATTTCTGCAAAAATCTAAAATATTTTGCACTATAACATGAAGGTAAATACAATGAAAACAGTTCATTTGAGCTTCAAAATATTTTGTTTGGCTTTCTTTTTTATAGAACAGACTTATGGCCGAACAATTCTGCAAAAAAACATGTTTTACCTATTGTAGAAGCATTCAAATTAATATCTGTGTGCTACAAGGTGGGTACCGTATTTCTTGTAACTTGTATTTTGACTGACCGCAGTTCGCTTTATTCGCAGAATGTTGACGGGGAATTGTTTCCGAAGGACGAGAGTGGGAAGGTTATCTATTCGGAGGATGATTATTTGGATACCTACAAAGCTGTAGAATCCTTGGTGGAAAAGGGTCTGGTAAAGGCCATCGGACTGTCGAATTTCAACTCGAAACAAATACAGCGCATCTTGGACAGTTGTTCCATAAAACCAGCTATGCTGCAGGTGAACGGACGCAATGACATATAGTACTGTATTTGGTTCTGTTTTTGTTGTGTTTTTAAAGGAAACGCAGATTTAATGCCAACTCACACAGTGCTACAAAACATTTCCTTTATTGAATGAAAAATAGGCCAAAATTAGAGAAATAAGGCACATTTTGAGGGGTATCATAAGGTAATTAATGTTAATCACATGCCCATGCTCAGGATAATTTAAAAAGCCATTTCTGAATTTGAATGCCATTGGGTGGTTTTACGTGAATTTCCTCCACAGCAAAAAGCATCTCAAAAACTGAAATACAGTAATTTCTTTGAAAAGAAATTAAAAATGCGCCACCTGACCTTGGAAATGTGTACTTCCATTGAAAGGTTTATACAGAACTACAAGAAACAGTTCCATTCTTTTGCTTGACCCAATTTCTGCAAAAATCTAAAATATTTTGGACTATAACATGAAGGTAAATGCAATGAAAACAGTTCATTTGAGCTTCAAAATATTTTGTTTGGCTTTCTTTTTTATAGAACAGACTTATGGCCGAACAATTCTGCAAAAAAACATGTTTTACCTATTGTAGAAGCATTCAAATTAATATCATACTGATACAACACCCCAATATGATGCCACCGTTAATCCTGGCATATTTTTTGCACTAACCAAGATTGGCATTAAATTGGGGTTTTACTTTTCAGTTGTGTAATGGCATTATGTCTTCAATTGCAATCCAAAATACTGTAGTGTAACATTTTCAGTTCTAGCTTATCAAATCGTGATGGATGTAACTGCCAAGTGCAGGAATGAAGTATGATTTTCCCCTTTTCTTCTGGACATTTCCATAAATTCTAATCCCCATTTCTAGGTTGAAAGTCATCCTTGGTTGAACCAGATCAAGTTGCAAGAATTCTGTACATCAAAAGGATTGGTCCTGACAGCTTACAGTCCATTGGGATCCCCAGACAGGCCGTGGGCCACTCCCGAAGATCCCACCTTGCTCTCTGATCCGAAGATCACTTCCATCGGCCCGAAATACGGCAAGAGTACCGCGCAAATTTGCATTCGTTATCAGGTAATGATGGTCTAACCTTTGTGTTTATTCCCCAGTATATAGAGAAAAAAAGTGAAAAAAATTCGGATTTTTTATTTTGAATTTCAGGTGCAGAAAGGCAGAGTTGTCATTCCGAAATCAGTGTCGAAATCTAGACTGGAAGAAAACATCAACGTGTTTGACTTTGAATTGACTGATGAAGACATGGCAGCTTTGGATTCGTTTGATAAAGGAGTCCAGGGTAGAGTTTGCCACATGAACTGGTGAGTTAATTCTTTCTTTCTTTTTTTTACCTCATATAGGTAACGTTAAAGAAACAATTGCGGTCGTCGTTTTCCTCTTTTTCCTGGGAACTCAAGAAGCATATTTTTCCCGTGATCATTCGGTATTTGTCTGTTCAGAAAAAATTCCCAGCGAAATTGACGCGACGTTGACAGAGAAAAAGTTGCGCAGTGTTTCTTCGTAAATTCTACGATCCAGCATTTTTGCTGTAATTTTCAAGTTCGCAGAATTGTTTCCTCCCTTATCTACTTCCGTGCTTGTTCGATTCTTCGAAGTGGAAAATTAGCGCATTTTATTTTTATTATTCCTCGCATCTCACGCGAAAATATAATTTTTAGTTCTTCTGTGACCGAGTGTTTTTCGACTGTCCAAAATGAGGTTGAGATTTTGAATTTAAATGCTTTGTTCACTGTTTTAATCCCATCTGTTTCTTCTAATCTCGTTATAACGAATTAATGATTTCAAGAAATTTGCTTATTTTGGTCCCTGTCCAACAGCCATAATGTTATTTTAATTTTGTTTATAGGAATTTTTGTATTGCGAAGGTTTTTGAAGAATAAAATGCATCTTTGTAACTAGATTATACTGTACAGTTGGACACCGAGATGAGGACGAAATTGGTGTTCTGACGGTGTCCCTATGTCGGAACGTTCGCATATTGGATCACCTTTTCCCGTAGACTTCAATTGGGATATTTTTATTCTTTCTCCAGTTGATGAAAGTTAAGAGAAAGGCCTTCAAAAATTATAATAAAATAAATTGGTCAACTTCGAAATGCAGAAAATAAGTGCGGAAGAAAATCACACATAATTTGATTTTGTTCGAAATGGAGCTCAAAAAGCATAGAAAACGCACATTAATTCCACTGTTTTTAAATGATGGAAATGACTCTTGAAAAAAGAAGCGCAAAATTAGTCTGTTTTAAATCATGAACTACAGTGAATTTAAAATAATGTTTCTTTTTAATTTTTGCAAACATAAAAAGGCCAATTTTTTCGAAAGATGAAAACATTCGAAAAATGAAATGCCTCCGTAAATGTTGCTTAACTTACCGTATCTCAAAAAATTGTCAGGATGTCCGGCCATATTTTTCGACTTTCGAGTGTCCCTACGTCGGTACAGTACAGCATTTGCTTCCCGTTGTTTCAGATTATCTTACTTGAAAAATTTCCGAAGCGATTTGAATGTGCGCAGAATAATGTGTAATTCGATGTGCGAAATTTCTTTCCAGGGCGACCGATCACGTTTACTATCCGTTCGGGCCCGACGTTGAATTCTGAGAGCCCCCGTCAGTGAGGAGTATGGGGACAATGAGTGAGCATCAGTTCGTCTGAGGTCTTATGCAGTATATGACAATTTTGTTTCTCGAGTCCGTTGCAACTTATTCTCACGTCAATTCCAGCAGTATGTACCTTGTAAAACGTTATCTTTTGTTTTTTGTTAGGATCCGATGTGCGCGCTGTCGTATGAAACGCTTTGTCGGCTAAAAATCTGAGCTTGACTTGTCGATGATCCGACTACTTCTGAAATACAGCGAAGTGATCAAGGAGGAAACTTGACGTTGTTTGTTTCGTTGTGTTCGATGTGCACTCATTGAAAAATCGAAACGAAATGTTGCTTAGAGAATCAAATGTTGCATGTACATGCTCTTGTTTCCAATAATACAGTATTCAGTATATTATTGAACCGTGACATTCTGAAAAAAGCGAACCACTTCTTGGAATGGCTTGTTTCAAAAAGTGTATGCGTCAAAAGTTTCGATGTGCGTGGTAATGACCCTATGTCTTTTTCCTGATGATTGGGTGGGAGAATTCACGATTATTCCATGGAAAAAATTTGATCAGCAAAACCCCGCCTGCTGATCTTCCATGTGCATTAGTTGAAGATATTCGAAGTGGATATTCATTATAGAATTGAATGTTTCACTCTGACAGTAAAATCATGTTGCAACAAAGCTGCTGGGAATAGTAAAAACTTCATTAAAGCAATGATTATAAACTAGGTCATGGAAATTTTTGGCTATTGGGCAAGGATAAAAAATGACCAGTGTAAGCAGTTAATTATAATGAGATTTGTTGTGAAAAAGTTTCTGTTATGCCATATGTTCAATTGTGTGCAACAATTGGTGTAATGATTCCAACATTTATCAATGCACAAAATAGGTCTCAAACTCTCAATACTTGATTTTCAACCCAAGAACTGGGGTATAAATCTTACGGCTCCGGTACAACTCACTGCACCTGTACTTGCCGCAGCTGTGCTTGCCGCACCCAAACTTGCCGCACAACTGACTTGCCGCTGTCATCTCTTGCCGCTGTGACAACCCGCCGCAAGCCCAACTCACCGCAGAAATAACCTGCCGCTCATACAAGTTGCCGCAATTAAATGTGAAAAAATGAAATGAAAGTGGATTTTTTCATTTTATTTGAAATTTCATTTTCTTGTGATGAAATGGAAGTGGAAAACGTAAATTTTTTGTCCTATGTACATTTTTTCAAAATACTCATAAATTGGATCAAGATTTTTTGGATATGATTTTTCTTTTTTTAACATTTCAAATGCATCACATACTTCTTCACTTGGTAAAAAAGATAATGCTAATAACATTTTAGCAAATTTTTGAAATACTTAATCTTTCATGTAAGTAGAAGCAAGCCCAAGTTCTTGTATTTTTCTGTACAGATTTTGTCCAAGGTGAAATACTTGTAACCCCTTTTGCTAACATGAATAAAAACATGAGTAAACCCTTTAAAAGTTAACATTTAATACCCCAACAGGATTCCTCCCTACATTTAATCATGAAGTTATTGCTGTGGTGAGTTGTGTGTGCTGCAAGCCATGTGCGGCAAGTTTACTTGCCGCAGTTACTCCGGCAAGTTGTTGCAGCGGCAGATTGTCCGTGCGGCAAGAGATGACAGCGGCGAGTCAGTTGTGCGGCAAGGTATGACAGCGGCAAGTCATAAGGGGTGCGGCAAGTTACAAGTGCGGCAAGTTACAGAGCGGTGAGTTGTGTCGACACGAAATCTTACATGGGGATAGTTCTTTCTTGGCAAATTTGTCACAAAAAATTGGGGTGTGTGGTACTCCAGGAAACATGGTACAAGCAAGCACACTTGGAAAAGCAAGGAAGCAGATTTTGAAATAGGCAATCGTGCCATTAATAAGAACTTCAACAGAAACATCTTGTTACACTACATCTTTTTCCTTATAGCAAACCTTCATTCAAATCCTGGCGGGAAGACAGGATGAATACAGGTTGAAAATATCATACAAATCAACCAAATTGCAGCAGAACAAACTTTTTGGGAAATGCTGAATGGATCCTCCATGTAAAAAATGTGTAAATGAGACAGACGCAGTCAGAAATGGCCCTCTATTATAGGAAATGTAACTGACCGGTTCTTGTAGCTTGGATAGAAGTAATAAGTTGAAGAAGCATGGTTTCAAGTGGTTCAGCACATCTTCCTATCAGAATTTCAGGATGAAGAGATTATATGGGAGGGGTGAAAAAAGCAAATTTTCCTAGACAACAAAAATTGTTTAAAATTCAGTGCAACAAGACTTTGAGGGTGTAGGCCTGGGAAAGATATGTGCTTGCTGCTCCTGATGGTTATCTTCCTTCATTAATTAATTAATTACAATCTTATGCAGACAATGCAATTATAGGCATCCATTTGAATGTATGACTGAAGCCAATTTTTTTCTGGAATCATTCAGTTTTTCAAACAACACTAACAATCTCAGGATGCCAAAAATCTAGATATGATTGATTATAGGCGGATGTGATGTTGAAAAAATTCAAGTCATCAGTTTTGAAAAATCATAACTTATTCAGTGCAGCAAACTTTTTTGTGGTCCGCAAATGTTTGTTTTAAGATTTTACTTACTGTACTGTATATGCATCAACTACTGGAAGAGCTTTGCTGCTGTTCAGAGTTTTGGCTAGTTTATTAGTATATTCAGTACTTGTATAGCTTGCACAGTATTTACTCAAGCTCCCTTGCATACACTGGATAAGTATAGTATGCCTTCTTTGTGCTGTATTCTTCCCTGTATCTTCTTTACTCTATCTGTATACTTTAGTTCACAATATTCTTTGCTGCTGATTGGTTCCTTGCTTTGAATATGTTGTGATGATGCTCCTGGGTTTTGAACTGGGGTCATCTGCATGAGAGTCAGTCATTTTCACATCTAGCTATCCACTCATAAGCCAAGTCCAATGCAAATACTGTAGTTATGTTGATTATACTAAAATGAGGTATATTCATATTCATTTAGAAAATCAGGAGCTGGAATATTTTTGAGGTGAGAAAGGAGTTCATGAATTTATATTTTATGTAAAAGCCTCACCTTAGTCACCTACATTTCAATCATTCAAAATTCACAGCTTTTTCTACCTTGATGAAATAACTGGAAAAAAATGTTTTCTCTTGAAAACTATTCTGCTGATAAATAAACATTTTCAGAAATGTGCATTATTAATGTGTTGTAACAAATGCAGAACCAAACTCTTGTGCAGCTGGATTCAGCTTTGAATAGAATTTTCAATGTTAATAAATGAAGCAATATCTAAAATGTTTTTCAAACTTTGAAGATCCATAAACATTTTGCTAATTAAGATAGAATGGTGTTTAAAAAAAACAAATTTTCCCCACAATTTATGAGGCCAATCAACATTTCCTATTGCAAGGAACAATAATCAATTCCTCAGCAATGTACTCAATGATGTACCTGAGATGTTCACTTGAACATTGCAGGTAAGAAACAATGTACCTGAATGAAGGGGTAAAAGAGAATAGTAGCCTGTCTCTAATGGTGGCCAAGGGTACTACTAGAAGACCATCTCCAAGTACTGTATACAGTATTTTGCCCAGCATTAGCCAACCCTTAATCCCATTTGTATTCCCTGTGGTATACCCCCAGAAATCTTTTGTTTTTTTGTCCCAGAGAAATTTTTCCTGAACATTACTTTTTTTCCAATCATATTCTATTTCTCCTATTATTTCAAGAACTTTTGTTAGACCCCTTGTCCTTGTGAGTAACACCCTGGGCTTGGCTTTTTTGCCTTTTCCACCATGGAAGTTTTCAATGAGAGGCAGAAGACGTGGCGATGAGGATAGACATCCAAGTTCGCAGGAAATGTGATGTCTGTTGAACTCCCTTATTATTCCTGTCTTTTTATTCCTCCTCTGTCTCTCCTGGAGAACAAAAAAAGTGAGAATTGCGTGGGTTGGATGGTATTTCCGGTCGCTCGCTCACTATATAAGCGTGGATGTACAGGAAGGCGCGAACCGGAAGCAGCGCGTTCTGGTCCGCGGGACTCACTCTGTGTTTGCGCTGGCGCACAATTATAAACGCTGAGGGGGAATCGTTTCGAATCCTCGTCGTCCTCATCTCTCGCTCTCTGGTAATTTCATTTTACTATCTCTCCTCCATCTGTTTGTCTGTTTTCTTTCCTTATTTCATTTACTATCTGTTGTCTGGTTGATGTGTTCATAGCTCTTCCTTATGTTTTCGCCAGCATGCAGTGATTTCGGAGTTGCTGCGCGTTTCCCGACCGGCAGGAAAATGCTGGTGTGTGCGGGGATCAGAATTGGACGTTGGTTGGAAATATCCCAGACTCATCTTTGTAACTTTGTTTCTGACGCTGGTTTGCGCGCCAGTAAATCAGATATAAAAGCAAACAGTGCTGCCCGATTCATATACGGCCCGTGGATCTGGCCTGCAGAGACTTTTCATGATGTGTCCGGTATATGGTCACTTGAACTATTTTCTGTGTAATTTTCATGGTAGCAGCTACAACTATTCAAAATGTATACATGCATTTAATGCAGTTGAACCAGATGGATAATAAATAGCTGGGACCTCCACAAGTTGTATTTTTCCGAATCCCTCTCTGAATTCTCTTAGAGACAATCCTTAAAAAAAATGTCTGGTACTCGCAAAGGCTTTTCTTCTGAAACCTCTGTATGCCTCATTTTGTGTTGCCTTTTGGCTATCATTTTGTTGACAAAGGAAAGAGAAGAGAAATAAAAAAGGAACATGATATGTTTTGAAAGGAAGTGAAAGACTAATTGGCAAATGAACCCTTTCTCTAAGTCCAGCATTCTGTTAACATATTTAACCCTTGTGAGGCAAAGTTGGGACATTTTTGCGAAATTGTGTGCCACTGAGCACTGGGAATAAAAAAAACCAACTTTTTCACCGAGGGCTAAGTTTGGAAAAAGTCTGAGATTTTTTTTCTAATCCTGCAGAAAATTTTGAATGAAAATTTAAAAAAATGTCTTGCTGGGTGATGTTTTTTCCTGCATTTCTGGCATAGGATTTGCATGGGAAAATCTTGGAAACAAAAGAAAATTTGGCTCCTGGATTTTTCCCAACTTAGGCCTCCTCAACCTGGCACATTTTAGTAACTGCTTGGGTCAAACTGAAATGTTACTTGCCGCAGTTACTCCGGCAAGTTGTTGCAGCGGCAGGTTGTCTGTGCGGCAAGAGATGACAGCGGCGAGTCAGTTGTGCGGCAAGGTATGACAGCGGCAAGTCATAAGGGGTGC